CCCTCTGAGCAATTACCATTTGCCAGCTGCTCGTTTCTCTTCCTCTGCTGAGCTCGTTCCTTTGCATCCTTCTCCAGCATTGCCAGGAAAGCATCTTGGAGCCAGGGGAGTTGGTGGCATTTCAGTCAAGGGAAAGGAAAAATAAAAAAAAAAAAAAAAAAAGAGAAAACTCGTTAAAATCAATCTGCAGATGAGGAAAAAAAAATAATTTCTGGGGTATTTCTGAGTCATTTCTTAATAAAAAAGATGCTGTGGGGACATTTCAACAGTTAAAGTGGAATGTGAATGACAAGCTATCACAGGTAATGATGATGCCACCACTGTCAGGACTGGCACACATGCCTTGCTGCAGCTCATTTCTGGAGATAAACGTGTTTGCTTTTAAATTCAGAATACAAAGTTTGTAGATGAGAGGCCAGAACACAGTAACTCCACCAAGCAAGGCTCCTACCCACGAAAAACACAGACATGCTGGTAAAACCCTTGAGTGTCTTCCCAGATCTGACTGGATCTTGACTAAAATTTTATTATCAATTTTATTTTATTAATATTATCTATTGATTTTATTAAATTTGATGTATTTTGTTAATTTTATTATTAACAATTTTAAAATTAAAAGTAAACTTTTTTACTTAAAACTCTGATTTTTTCACTGAAGAAGTCAGCTTTGACTGTGGCAGGAGTGGGATCAGGTTTTGCATTAAGTAGCAGCAGCTCTGCTAGAACTGGTTGAAGGGATGTCACAGAGCAGAGTGAGCACTGTCCTACCTGCATTTGCTGCCTCTGCTGGGCCCTGAAAAAAGAGAAACACAGGGTTTTTAACAATTTTTGACATTACTGGAAAGCTTCTATTTCTGTCTTTAATGAGGCAAGTCACCAAAATCCAAACCCCACTGCAGGAATCAAAACCTAATTAACAAAGGGACTCGTGTGTCCTCAACTAGTCTTGCTCAAGTTCCTGAAGTGCAGATAAAAGCTGTAAATTGTGGCACCTCAGTGCAGGTAAAAGCTGTAAATTGTGGCACCTCAGTGCCTGCATCCAACTTGGATAAATCCAAGAGAAATCCTCTGTGTTCTCAGCAGCCCCAAGGCACAGAAAACATCTCATCAAGCACCTCCCAATAAAATAACTACTGGAAAAAAATAAAGCCACGTTCAGCCCATGGTTGTAAATATTGTTTAAAATGCTTTCTCCTGAGCGAGGGCTGTGAATTAGTGCTATTTAAAATAGAGTTAAACCAGCTTTGATCTCAGAGGCAAAGCCCTCACAGAGGTGTTGATGACTGTCCTGTTCACCGTGGTCTTGGTTTCCTCCTCTTTGCTGGTCCCTTCCTCCTGGAGCCTCCTCTCTGCCTCAGCAAGGGCTTTTTCCTTGACAGCCGAGTCCGTGGACTTCAGGCCTTGCAGCAAATTGCCTAAAAAGAAGATGGGAAAATAAGGGATTTATATACACACAGGATATCCAAGAGATCCTGGAGGGACCAGGAGCTCAGCTGGCACCTGCTTCTGAAGTGACCAGCATGGCCTTTATTGTAGAATTACAGACTGTTTGGGCTGGAAAGGCCCCCAAAACTCATTTAATTCCACCCCCTGGCACGGGCAGAGACTCCCTCCATGGACCAGGGTTGCTGGGAGCCCCGTCCAGCCTGGTCCGGGACAGTTGATAAACACAAACATTGATAAACACAAACATCCACAAACTCAATTTCCCATCACTTTCCGGAACCCCCCGGAGTGTCTGCGTTAGAAAAACAAACAAATAAACACATTTATGTATAAATAAACATATAGATATATATACACACACAAAAGAAAGCAGCTCTGAGCATCCCCAAAGCATCCCCACAGCTGGGCCCGTGGGGAGACACCCGAACCCATGGGGACACACCCGAGCTCACAGGGAGACCGTGTATAACCCGAATCGGGACAGTGGAGCAGCAATTTTCCCCTTTTCCATTCATTTTCCGCCTCCCTTTCCCCCTAAACCCTCCCTCCGTTGTTGTTCCTTTCCCCACCCGGGGGGGCCGGGGACACTCACTGACATCGTCCACGCGGCGGAGGAAGCGCTGGAAATCCGCCTCGGTGTCCTCGTCGCGGAGCATGGCCGGGGGGACAGACAGGGGGACAGACAGGAGGACAGACAGGGGGACAGGGGAGGGGACACACGAAGGGTCCCGGCGGGGCCGGGACTCGAACCCGCGGCTCCGTTGCCGGGGAGACGCGCCCGGTGACGCCGCATCCGCGGGAGGGGCGCGTGTGGGCGGGGCTATGCAAATGAGAGGGCGGTGCCATGCAAATGAGCGTTTGCTATTTCGCGGGCTCGCCCCGGGCTCACGGAATGATGGGATCACGGAATTACGGGATCGTTTCGGTTGGAAAAGCCCTCCCAGCCCACCTCGTCCCACCTGTGACCGATCCCCACCTTGTCAGCGAGCGCCGCGTCCAGTCGTTCCTTGGACTCCAAACCTCCCTGCGCCGCCCCCTCCAGTGACCACCCTCTTTCCATGGAGGAATTCTTCGTTATTGTTAATAATCGCCTCGTCAGGAGCCGCTGCAGGGCCGCGTTTCCAAAGGCGGAGCGCTGGAGGAGGTGGTTATAGGAGCTGTCGGCCACCAAAGGGAGCCAGAGCATCGCCGAGCTCCTGCTGCACCGCCGGGATGTTCCCATTCCAGGCACATCCGCACCCGCCCGCCTGGGAGAGAACGGCACAGGAACAGCGAGGTGACCCGGCAGCGCCCAAGGACGGGTCGCTGTGGGGTCTGATGGGTGTGAAATTAGAAAATTCTCACTATAAATTTACACCCCGCAGCTCCATTCGCCTGCCTCTGCTTCCGCGGCTCCCGGGAGGAGGAATCCTGTGTGCCAGCAAGATGCTGAGCTCCCTCACTCCACAGGCAGCACATCCCCTGCCCCATCCACCCCCTCTGCAGCCAGAATATCCCTTAAACCCCTTTCCCCCTCCCTCCTGCACCAAACCCAAACATCTCCCTTCTCCCACCGCAACCAGCTCTGCCCACGTCATTCCCCATCCCAAAGGTGGGGTTTTTGTTCCTCTAATGAAGGTTTTTCCAGCCCCGGGTCCAATTAAAAACCCCCTCGAGGTGATGGCTCTGGCACTGGGATGCTCAGAAAGCTGGTTTTTTTATGGGTTACCCCAGAAAATCTGGGGAACAAAACCACCCTGTGCTGGTGCAGCAGATCTGCACAGGTGAGACACACCTTTACTGAAAGGTGTCCAGGTCTCCATTTCCCTACAAAACCACTTAAAATGATGCCCTGAAGCACATGCAGGAGATTCACAATTTGATTACAAACCAACTAATTATAATGTCTGGAAAGAACAAGAGAAAGAAGGTGTTTGTGGCACAAACGTCTCCATCCACGCCCCTAAACCCCCCCAAACCTGCTCTTATTACCCCAAATTACTAATTACTTACCCTAAATTCAGGCCAGACTGGGGGGTTAAAGTTGCCACACTCAGCCAGGGTGACTTTGCCAGTCGGGTGCCACGGCCTTAACAGAGGGAGAGAGGAGTTAAAGAACTAAAATGGAAATTAAAAGGCAGGTCTGGAGACTGAAAAACGGCTGAAGAAACACAAAGATCTCGCAAAGAATTTGTCAGTTGTTTGTCACTGAGCACAGCCACGACTCCAGGGGAAGGAAAACCTGCTTTTCACACGTGCTCAGCAATGACAGTAAATGAGGCTCCAGGCCCCTCTGTTATCTCTGGGAGAAGAGGGGAAAAATACCTGAGCTCCTGAAGCTGAAGATGGTGCAGCAGGAAAGGAGGCAAAGCCAGGGAACAGATTCAGCACTGAATGCAGAGCAGACACTGGGGGGATCCAGGGAAGCAGCTGCTAAACCATGAACACAAAAGCAACCTCAGAGCCCCCCCTTCAAACCCAACCAGGGACTTGGGCCAGTTCATGTTTCCCTCACTTGAAAGGAATTGGTGGTTTTTTATATCAAATGGGTAGGGAAAAAAAAAAAGGGTCTTTTTCAGCCAAATGGAAACTTCTGTGTGAAAATAAACTCCGAATTTCTGAAAGTATTCCTAAGAAAAAGTAAATAGACCCCACCCCTTGCAACCCCCAGACTAGAAAAATTCAACTTGGGCATTTTGGCAGTTTTTGGTTAAAATTTAGGAAAAAAGATATAAAGACCCTCAATTGAATTCATTTATTAAATAAAATCATTAGATTCAACACTCATTAATCAAGGTCAGGCATCCAATTCAGGATGGGTTAAGGAGATACTTTTAAAGCCAAAACTCACACCTTCCATAGCCACACAACAGAGAAGTGCCTTTTTTTGAGGGAGGGGAAAAAAAACTGTCCCTGTTTCACAGCAGCCATGGAACTGCATCTGTGTGCTTGTTATCCAAGGGAAATAAAGAAATAAATGCAGTGGGGTAAAGACACAAACTTTAAAACACTGTTGGGACCTGGCAGAGCAGCTAAAGAAGGGCAGACTGTAGGCAGCAGCAGCATTTTTTTTTGTAATTTTTATTTGAACACAGTATTCTGACAGAATGCAAAGTCAAAATCCTCAGTTAGTATCAGTATTTACACCAGTGAGAATGGGGATAAAGGTGGACTCGATGTTTCACTCGGTAAAAAGATTTTTTGTTTTTTTCTTTTTTTAACAAGATAGAAGGCCCCCAAAAGTAGGGAATGCTGGGGAAGGATGGCAATGGAGGGGCTGAGAACAACTACCAAAAACAGCCTAGGTGTGAAAAATGTGGGGTTTGAAGGCTCCATAGAAAAGTGTGTGAAAATAAAAGTCCACTCTCAAAGCTGAAGGACGGGATGCACTGTCGTCACCTTCACGCATGGGCAGCACAATGTCAGCGCTCCTGGGGACCCTCGTGGGGATGGGCACACACACCAACACACACAGTGCCCAGGGGCTGGGCTGGCACCTCCTCACAGCTGGAACTCAGAGCAGGGAAGCCTGGGCTGCCCTGGGAACGGGCAACTGGTACATTAAATTAATGACCCCCCATTAAGGGTGAGAGACAAAGCACTGCAAGGACTGGGAGGAGTTGAAGAAGGAGCTCACAGGGTTCACTCCTGCTTGGAGTGGTGCTCACTCCACCCGTGGAATGGTTTGGGTTGGAAGGGACCTTGAAGCTCCAACCCCAGACCCAGTGTCAGTGTGGGGGCTGGGCTGGGCTCTGGGCTGGGCCCCTTTTCCAACGGAAAGGCCAATCCAGGGGGGAGTTCCCCCTTTTCACCCGACAGGGGCTGAGGGTTGGCACTGGGCATTAAGGTTGTCTCCTGCCAGCTCAGCTCTCAGGGGTTAGAACTGGGGAGGGCCAACACACAGATGACAAAACCAGCCCAAACTCTGCAGAGATCTGACAAACTGAGGGCACCCAGAGCTAACTGAGGTACCATGGATCTGACCAACTGAGCTCACCCAGAGCTAACGGAGGTACCACAGATCTGACCAACTGAGCTCACCCATGGGAACAGAGGTACCACTGATGTGACAAACTGAGCTCACCCCCAGGGACAGAGGCACCCACTGCTGCCCCAAAGCTCCCTGGTGCAGACACACCCCGGGAGCTCCTTGTGCTGCCTTTTCCAGGTGGGTTTCTCGGGAAAACAAAGCAATCCTAAGGACTGTGAGCCAAACTTCCCCCCCAGTTCCACCAATACTGCTGTGCTGGGTCATGCAAGGGCGGGATCTGATGCGGGGCTTTGGGGTGAGGCCCCGTCCTGCCCCCATATCCCACCGGGATGGGCCCTGCACCTCCAGCCATCCCCCCCGGGCATCCCAGGAGCTGAGGAAAAAATGCAAAAAACCCCACACTTAGCAAATGACAAGACCATTATTTCCCACAGTTGGAAGTGATGTGATGCTGCTGGAACAGACTGCACTCCTTCCAAGGACACACGGATGGAAGTGGCTCCACTGACCTGAGCCAACTGCGGCCTCCAAACCCCCCTCATCCTCCTGCTCCTCACCACACTCAGCTCGGGTTGGTTTTCTCATTTAAAGGCTTCTGTTCTCTGTAAGAGTTGTTCTCTTTTCGTTTTGTTTGTTTGAAATTCCTGAATATTTTTTTTTCTCTTCAAATCTGAACTAGCGCTACACCTTCCACATCCAAACTATGTTGAAGCTTTTATTATTTCAATACTATGACAAAAAACACGGTTCACACTAAAATAGTCACGCACCCACAGTGCACAAGCTTGCAGATCTAAAGTAGAATTAAAAAAAAAAAGAAAACAAAAGAAACAAAAACAGGAAAAAAAAAAGGAGGGGAAAAAAAAACCCCAAAACCCCAACAGAAGGAACATCTCTATACAATGGGCTGGTCTCTCCCTACACGCCTCTGCCTCCCTTCTGCTCAAAGCACCTTTTCACCCCCAAATCTCAGCGTTGCTCCATGATTCCTGATGAGAAATGCCATTTTCAGCTGCCCCCCTCCATGATTTCAACACAGGTGCTACGTCACCCCCTTTCCCAGCTCCTAAGACACGATGCCAGGGGGCCACCACTGGCATCCCTGGCACTGATTTCCAAGCACTTGCTCCTGATTTCGGGTTTTTGGTTCTGCAGAGCACAGACTCAGCACACACAGGGGATGGGACAGGACGGGAAGGGTCACTGGGAAGGGACCTGCAGGGATCAGCTGGTCCAGCCCCACCAGCAGGAGGGGTCTGGCACCTGCCCAGCACCTTTGGGCAAAGAGCCTTTGTTTTAAAATGTGCTTTCCAGGGCCACGGGATGTGGGATTTACTGACACTGGGATTTACTGGCATCGAAATAAGGGGGAACTGATGCAGTCAAACATCTGAGCCCAGACCAGCCCCAACTGTACAATCTCCCTTCTGCTCCTCGGAGCTCCGGGAGGGTTCCAGGAAGGAAAGGGGAGAATGTCCTAAAAAAGCAGAGATGATATTTCTCTTATGCAGTCAGGCCCAGGTCCAGCAAGGGACTTCAACTAAATTTAAGAATAGAAGGACTTTCTCCAGCAATTCCCCCATTCCAAGGAGAGCCTGGATTTATGTGGATTGCTGGATAAAGACCTTGACTGGTGACAAGTGGTTTGAATACCCCCCACCCCCCAAAAAAAATCCCAAACCGAACCCCAGCATCACTTTTCTTCTTACTCCAGTAAGAAATAATAATAATAATAATAACAATAATAATAATAATAACAATAATTAAGAAAAGATAAAGGGGAAACAACTACTGTAAACATCCATGTTTGAAAATGTCTCCCTTTGCAAAGCAAGCATGCTGCTACCCTAGAGTCTAGAGACTGGATTGACTTCCAAACAAAAAAAAAACAAAAAAAAAAGGCAGCTATTTTACACATCCATTTAAACACAACAAAAGTTAAAAAAATATTTGTCAATTGTAAACACTGGAAAGAACAAAAGTTGGCAAAAAAAAAAAAATTAACATAAAATTTAAAGAAATGTAGAGTCTGAATACTGCAAATTGAAATACATCCCCCGAAGCTGCAATTTTGGCATTCTTCCTAAAAAATAGATAATAATAAACCCCAAATAAATGTCTAACGTGGCAAACAGAATTCAGTCACAAAGGGCTCGAGACACTTTGCATACTGAACAAATACAAGGTGAACAGAAATTATAACTTATTTATGAGGCTTTACATATTTCAAACTCGACTGAAAAGTATAAAAATAAATTGTGGACTTTGTTCTTTAAGTACCAGCCGTGCCCAGCAGCACAGTGGTTATATCTGCTATACTAACAAAGGAAACAACAGGGTCTCTTTGATTATTTTTTTTTGTCTTTTTTGTGTTTTTTTTTTTTCTTTTTGTCTAGGACTAGTTGATTCTGAGCTTCCCAACCACATTGCAAACGGTATTGCAACTTTTGCTTCTCTGAATATACCCAGGGTCAGCCAAGCCCTGATTTGGTTACGGGTTTAACCCTGTTTTTAACATGTATTACTTTTTAAAAGCAAGTGCACAACGAATAGAATCTTTCTAGAAATAGTAAAAAAAAAAAAAAAAAAGAAAATAAAAAACCAAAAAGAGAAGAAGAGAAGAAAATAAAAGAAAAAAAGAGACATTCCCCCCTCCCCCCATTTATGCATTTTCTGGTTTGTTTGTTTGTTTAAAAAAGGCAACAGACACTAGAGGAATGAGATGGGTGTGTGGGCTGTGATTTCAATGCTCTCTCGTTGTCTCCCCGGTGCTGATCATGCTTTGCTCTCGTTCTCATTTGTTTGTGTGGCTTCGTTGGGGACCGTCTTCACTTCTGCTGGAGGGGTCTTCCTGTCTGTCACCTGCACTTCGGATTTGTCTTCTACTGGGATTTTCCTGGGGAACAATCACCAAAATGGCAGAGTTTAGAGGCACAGAAATGCAGGCTGGGTGAGCTGATAAGGAAAGAACATCTTTCTGGAGCCCACACCTCGCTCTGGCTGAGCAAAATGAGCATTTCCTGATGCAGAGAGAAGTAAAACCAAACTCAGTCCCCCCCAGCCCAGCTTCACCTCGCTCTGGATTCATCTTTTTTTGCTTCTCCTGCCCTGGGCTAGCACGAGGCAGGACGAGGGTGCAGCTGCAGGGGCTCGAGGTGGGCAAAGAGGAGCCCCAAGGAAACTCTCCTGGTTGCCAAGGAATTCCACTTTACCACCCCAGTGCCCTGGTCAAACAGGCTGTGTTTTTAGCAGAAACCCCTTTTTTTTGCCTACAGGAAGCCAGTCCCAGAATTTCCCAGCACGTTGCAGGAAGTGAAACACGGAAGATGGGAGTTTTCCCAGGTGGAAGGGAGGTGACCACCTCCACAGGCTCTGCCAGCAGCTGCCAGCCCAAACCAGCACAGCACCAGTGCTCCTGCCCAACCCCTGCCCCACAGCTGGGCACCCTCCCCCAGCCACCCAGGGCAGCTTCTCCTGCTCTTTCCACTCTCCTGCCAAACACAAGGTGCAGACCCCTCTCAGCTGAGGGATGTGGATCCTCTCCAGATGGCACAAGGCTCCAAAGGGCCCTGCCTGGGGACGTGCTGCTGCTCTCAGAATAAATCAGCTGGGTAGAAAGGAGACCTGGTACAGCTGGTGGAGACTCATCCCTAATCCAACACTCTGCCAGGTTATCCTGACCCCACTGCTCCCCTCTCAGACAGCACCACGCTGCCTCATCCTCCTGCCAGCTCAGGGACAACTCCAGAGGTTCCTGGCTGTCACAGTTCCACATGGCACTGGTTTTTGTGCCCAGCCTTACACTGAGTGTGTTCTGAATTTCCACTGATCTGTCAGGAAATGGAATTTGGGTGGTTGTGCTCATTGACCTGCAGGAACTCAGCTCTTCCTTTGCACCAAACTGAACTATTTCTGCTCTCTTCCATAAAAGAATAACCCACGATAGACAAAGCTGCACAAAAGTCTGAGGAACAACACATTCACAACAAATTCCCAGGTTTCTTTTCTCTGCTTCCCTGGCACAGCCTACTCCTGGCTTTCCTCCTGGACCTCTCAAGCCAAGCCCTGTCGGTTCAGTGGTGAGTTAGTTCGCTAAGGAAACGGTGAGATTAGTTAAGAGAACACCCAACAAGGACACAGCACGAGCACCAGGGCACAAGAGACACAGCACACAACCAACACAAGAGTAAAGGTGGCCGTACTCGGTCTTTGCAGGCGCAGCGGGTACAGAGCTGTCTGCAGTGGAAGGACCAGGCTCGTGAGCTTGCCCACCAGCCACACTGGCAGGAGCAGTGCCAAGAGCCGCAAAAACATCCTTTGCAAGATCAATGTCTGGTGTCTTGAAGGCCCCTTCGTCCATTTTAAAGTCCTCGTTCTGGGAGGGGTTGGCGGTGCTGCCCGAGGCAGCCTCGCTCTTCACGTTGCTCGGGTTCTTGGGCGTCTCCGTGGGACTCTTCACTGTGCCGGGCTGCACAGGCTCCTTCTCGGGGCTCTTGGTGCTGGGGGCCTCCTGCTTGGGCTCTGCTGGAGCCGGAGGGCTCGTGAGGTTGGCGGGGCCGGGGGCAGCCGGCTTGTTCCCAGCCGCCGCCGCTTTGGAGGCCTCGGCGGTGCTGGGGCTGAGCACCGCGCCCTGCCCCGGCAGGACACTTGAAGACAAACTGTTAGAGGCCGGAGCAGAGCTCGGGGTGTCGCTGAGGTCAACGAGAGGGGCCACTTTGGGGGTGGAGGAGGGCGGCGGTGACGACCCCGAGGTGGCGGCCGCCCCTTTGGCCGGGGTGGCCTGGCCGGGCGACGCGGCGCTGGAGTCGGGGGCGGCCGCGGCCGGAGGGGCAATGCTGGAGGTCAGCGTGGTGCTCTCGCTGGTGGGGCTGTTCTGAGCAGTGGCAAAGGTTTCAGTGATAGTGTCAGAGTTAGTGGTGCCCGTGGTGACAGAAGGCAGCATGTCCTCCACGGTGGCTGCGGTGTCGGCGGGGTGCCTGCGGGGGGGACAGGGGCAGAAGAGAAATAGAGACAATGAAGCCCCCCAAACGACAGCAGGGAAAGGGGGGGGCAGAGAGGGAGAGTGAGGAGGTGGAGCAGAACCAGCTGGTTATGACACACACACACACACAACACGGAGAGGGACTCAGGAGGAGCAGAGACTTTCAGAGGTCAAACATGCAAAGGGAGCAAGGGAAGAGTGAGGGTAACTAGGAGAGAAAAAAAGGCAAAGAGGATGTGACCTGCAGGAATGGCTTGTTCACAGAGAGTTTTGGTTCAGGTCTGAGGCAAAAGGAAACCTGCCAACTTGCAGAGACTCTTCTCTCTCAGCCTAACTTTGCTCTCGGTGCTTCCCCCTGAGCTCCCAGGGAAGCTTCCTGCCAATGCCCTGAGCCTGCAGCCCTGTGCTACTTGTCACCACAGCATGGTCCCAGTGCAGGACCCCTGAATCCAACCCCTCACCTTGCCCTGTCCTTTCCCCTGCAGGCTGGCCTGAAGGCCTGCAAGGCCCTCATCAAGCCACACAAAGCACATTTCTTTTCACACGTGATGCAGACTCAGGGCCCAGTTCAGTTCCCTGATGTGAACAAAGCTCACACGGGAGCTCTCAGCCCTCTCTCAGAATACTCAGACTTGCTCTGCCTCCTCCACAGCAGAGCCCAAGCTCCTCTGCTGCTCTCAGAGGGTGCTCTCAGGGGGTTCAGGCTCTCCTCCAGCACTGCTGGGCACGGCTCACACAGCACTCGCTGCCAGCCGGGGCTGACTCTGCTCTGGATCCTCTGCAGTGAACATGGGCAGGTGTTTGATCTCCACACCGGGCAGGGCTGGCACAGACAGGCCTTTCAGGACACTCTGCTCCATTCCAGTGCTGGGAATAGGAGTCACTGAATCTTGAGAGGAGGCACTTCCTCACTGGCACATCACCAATCGCAGGCGGAGGTTTTACCTTTCTTCCTCTCTTCCTGCCCTAAGTTGTGCTCACGGGAGACCTCGAGCGTGAGATGGGGGCAGCTGAGGGCACTGCAGTGCCCCTGTGCTAGGACTGGCTAATGCCAACATACTCTGGCTCTGTCAGCGGGGTGGTCTCGTTGGGCTCCGTGTGTTTGCCCCCGTCGTGGTTGGGGGTCCGCTCCTCCTCCGTCCGCACCTCCACGATGGGCTCCTTGGACTCATCTTTCCTGCAGGGAAGGAATTGCACCGAGATTGGAGCCCACTCACAGGAACCCTCCTGCAAAGACACGCTGCCAACACCCACAGTGAGGGACAGACACCCCGGGCTAAACACGGGGCACTCCTCGGGGTCACTTCTTCTTCCCCACAGCACACAACTCCAGCGGCACGTCCGGCACTGGGATGTCCACTGGGCCACCCCTCTGATGGCCACCAACAGGAACGAGACAAAACCAGAGCAACAACTGCAGAAACACCTTCCTGGAAGCACAAAGAACCCCAGAACCTTCCCAGCACCCTCCCATCAGAGCCGAGGAACCCCCGGCTCGCTGGGACAGCTCCTCCTCCCGGAGCTGCTGGGGACAGGAGCGGTGGCAGGGGCAGCACTCACGAGATGGGGATCAGGGGCAGTGGCAGGGGCAGTACTCACGAGAAGGGGAATAGGGGCAGTACTCACGAGAAGGGGAATAGGGGCAGTACTCACGAGAAGGGGAACAGGGGCAGTACTCACGAGAAGGCAGCTTTTCCCTCCTCCATGTCCTTGCCCTTGGCCCCGGGGCCGGATTTGCCGCACATGTTGACCGCGATGCACATGAGGAGCCCACACTTGTTGAGGAAGTAGCAGGTGACGTCCACGGCCACCAGCAGGGCCACGAACACCACGACCAGGATGCCAATGATGGCAGCAGTGCCCAGGCCTGCCGTGGGGCTGGTGCTGGCTTCAGAGACCAAAGAGAGAAGAAGAGAGGGCACTGTGGTTAAAAGGTGGGTCAGGGCTTGATTTTGGGTGCACTTAAGGTTACAGGCACAGGAGGCTTTCGGAAGGTTCACCCTCTCTCTAGCAGCCTTGTGTTATAACCTGGGCTTTATCCTACGCAGGACAAGCTCAAAAGATGGATTCCCGTGGTCCTGACAGGGCTTTGCCCATCTCTGTTGGGGTAAAGCCTGGAAAGCCAACAGCAGAAACCTCTTCTGCCGTGGCACACACCCAGCTGGGACACTGAAGGGCTCCAGCTTCCCTCCACCACCTCCTCAGGAGGTTGTGTCTGGGGTCCAGAGTGGCTCTGGCACTGCCAGCCTGGCCCAAAAACCAGTGGAAGTAAAGCCCAGACTCTGCAGCAGGACTTGCCCAGGTGGGACACAAAACACTGGGTGATACCTGTGGGGCCTCAGTGGTGGAACTGGAAGGAGTTAAACCCCTTCCTGCAGCTCAGGGAAGACCCAGCTCTGCAGAACTGGGTTATCCAGAGACAGCTGAGCTCACAGTGAGTGCTCAGGAGTGTTCTGGCTGAGGGACACACAACCCAAGAGCCTTCTGAGGAAGCAGGTGGCAAAGAGAAGCAGCTCTGCCACTCTGCTGATGCTGCCCTGGCCCCAGCACTCCCTGCTCCTCCACAGCCCATCTCCACCACCTTCCCCAGCTGCAGAACAGAAAACAATACCTTGCCTTTTCCAGCAGACAAAGGGACAGCGGGTGAGAGGTGGGGATGGAGGCCCAGGAAATGCTCTATATGGGGCTGCCCACACAGCACCAACTCCAGGGCAAGTGGAGTTTAAATTCCTACCTGCTCCTAAACTGCTCAGCCTTCCCTTAGAGACAGGGAGGGGACAAACACACCAGAGAGTCCTGTCCAAACCAGCAGGCACAGCTGCAGCTTCTCAGGCTCCTTCTCTCACCCCCTGAGCACCAAGTGCTTTGTGTTCCCCTTGTTCTGTTCAGAACAACTCCTGCCAAGCTGCCCATCTGCAGGCAGAGCATTTGGTTGGTGGCTCATACAGTTCAACACCTCTTTAGGAGGTACCAAACCACTCCAAACCTGTTGGTTGGTCTCAGCCATCACATCATTTACCTCCCAGGACGGGACTGTGCCCTCAGCAAAGGCTTGTGCCTCTCACAGAGCTGATGATTCCTGAGACAGCGGGGCAAAAGCATCATAGTTGCCATCACTCAGAGGAGGATTGTGGTTTTTCTTTCAGTTAAGATGCAATTCTAGTCATTTCTACCTCATTTTTTACTGCTGGATGTCACAACCCCCACACCCCGGCAATCTTTGCTTTGCAGAAACACCCAGCAAAGCACCTCTTTCCCTCAGCCTGATTTATGTTGACTTTGACAGGTGGAAAGGTCCTTTGGAGGGCTCACAGACAGAGCCAGACCCCCCTGGCACACACTGCCTTGCTTCAGAACAGGAGACAGAACACCCTTGGCCTGAGGCAGGGAAGTGCTGCCTCATCCTGTGACCCTGAGATGTACCAAGGAGCTCAGACTGCAACAGGAGAGGATCCAAAAGCACCTGCCTGACACTGGGATCCAGCACAACATGTGTCCCCCAGCCCAGCCCCTGCCAGCATCCTGCATCACTGAGGGAATTAATCACCCTCTGATGTGTGCAGGGAGGGAGCAGGTCATGGATTTTCCCTCTCCTAATGTATTCAGGACTCTTGTGTGAATTATTCAATAATTAACGTGTTGCTGTTCACATCAGCTCCTGGAAGAAAAGCTGAAGATGTGTCAAACTTCTCATCCACATCTCCTGGGTTAGAGCTCCTTGGCAGGCTCCTGAAGGTGCACTAAGGAAATAATCCCAGACAGGATTACAGGATAACAGCTCCCTGTGTGCCTCCAGAATACACCTCATCCCTGTCACCAGAGCTGGAGGGAGACAAAAATATTTCATCCTGGGACTTCCATGTCCTAGAAAACACCTTCTGGAAAATTCCATTCTAACAGAGTCCTGCTCTTTGCTTCCTCTCCCTGCCAAGACCTGCCAGCATCAGCCCAAGGCCCCTCAAAGGCAGGAATTATCTGTGGCACAAACCACCTCAAGAGCCCTGTAGTTTTTGTGCATTGCCCACACCTCGTCTGTGACTCACAGATGAATCAGGGAAACATCACAGTCCTGGGGGAAGAATTAAAATGATCAATTCCTGGAAACTCAGCCAGTGTGACTTCAGAAGGGGCTGGCTGAGGTCACTGCAGCCCCATGTGCAGCAGAACAGGACGTGGGATAAATCAAATATCTTCATTTTGGAGTGAAGATACAAGGTTCTAAGGCTGGAAACAGAGGGTGGGGGAGCTCAGCCAAGGAATAATGTATGGAATTGCATCCCCAAAACTGCCAAGAGCTCCCAGGTCACAGTGGCTGTGCTGTCACCTGGAGCAGTCACTGCCCTGGAACCCTGAACCCTCTTGCACCAGGGTCCAAACCCCACCAGGCTCCACCACCCTTAGAGCTCCCATTCCTGCTCTGATGGCCCCAAAATGACCCAAAATGTTCTCTCTGAACACCCAAAGCAGAGCTCCTGAGCAGGCACAAGCCCTCCCTCCTCATCTCCCCTCCCTTCCAGCCCATTCTGTGCCCCCCTGCCCCGGGCTGGGGAGATCCAGGGCAGATCTGCAGGGAGATGCCCTTGTTTCTGTGCTGTTCTTACATTTTGCACTGCAGACAATCAAACTGGGCCCGGGTAATCGCCTGCAATTTGGCTTTTTCTGGGCTAGGAAGAAAGCCCTGCAATTTTCAGGAACTTCCAAACCTCTTCTGCTAAGCTGAGTTTTATAAATTCGAATTCATGACATAAATTGATATTCCAAATCCTTCAGAGATCAGCAATAAGGAAGAATAATTTAAGAATCCTTCATGACCCCTTGAACTTGGAGGCTGTTGGTGCTGCATTTCTTTTTCCTGTATATATTTTGCAAAGGAATTTTGCTATTGCTATAAAATGCAGAAAGCATGTGGTGTGTTATTCCTTTTCACAGACTGTCACATCTGATTAAATTAAATTGATCTACAAATGCTTCCAGGAACTATTGACTCCATTCTACAGCAGAATTCAGGTTTTATTTAAGGAAACTAATATTTAGACATCCCTAAAGAGTTTGTTGGGGTCTAAAACAATTCTGTGTAGAAAAGAAATGTATAAATAAATAGTCACTGTTGAGCACCAGCTGCTCACACCGTGTATGAGAGGACATGTAATAAATAGATGTTGGACATTTCTGACCTGATCCAGAGCACATTCAACCTTTCCATTAATCCCCCTTTTGCTATTCTCAGGACTAGGAGGAATAACATTTCCACAAGTTAAATAAGGAAACACAAAACATTAAAAAACTTCTGGAGTCCTTAATTCTAAAGAAGTGAAGAATTTATTAATTACAAATTATTTTTTTTTTCAATGGAAAATGAGCTTCCTGCAAGACTGACTTTTCTAACACCCTCATTTTACAGTGTACAACAAAATGACCCACGGATTTTCCTTTCTGCAGCTCAGCTGTACAGACACATGCCCTGCCAGGGAGAGATCAGCTGTGTCTTCCTAGTGGGGTCTCAGCTAGGGAATGTTCAGGCACAGGCAGACAAGGAGACAGAGAGGGATGGAGAGGAGCAGGTATGATTCCAGGCATTTCAGAAGTCCCACAGTATTTGGCAAGAGAAAAGGAGTACAAACAAAACAAATAAAAATTCATTTCATGCATCAGAAAAAAATAAAACCCACCCCAAAAAAACAAAACCCAGGAGAGAAGCTCTTTGTTCTCAGTGGATGCCAACAGCTTTGATCTGAAGTGTCCCTGGAAGAAGGGGAGATGGGTTTAACAGCCTCCTTCCCTCAAACCTTCCACTGGCCCAGGTTGTTCCAGCCTGGCCTTGGACACTTCCAGGGATCCAGGGGCAGCCACAGCTCCCCTGGGCAACCTGTGCCAGGGCCTCCCCACCCTCCCAGCCAGGAATTCCTTCCCAACATCCCACCAACCCTGCCCTCTGGCAGAGGGAAGCCCTTCCCTGGGTCCTGCCACTCTTGTCTCTCTGCACCTTCCCACCATCAGGTCACCCCAAACCCCTCAGGTTTCCAGCAGAAAGGAGCCCTTCCTGTATATATTCCCTGCTGACCAGATTCCTGTTTGCTGTTCAATATGATAGGATTAATTCTAAGTAATTCAGCCACAGAAATGATCTCTCCCCTGCCTGTCTGGTGGAGGAGCCCCTCAAACCCTCCCTGTCCAAGGCACCTCTCCTTGGCCAGAACAACCCCCAGAGCTGCTCTCTCTCCACACCACACTCAAGTTAGAGTTTATCCAAGGTAATTTCAATAACTGTGACTTGGGTGAGATCCATCTCAGCCTCAGCCAACAACCTCCCTCTGCAGAGGAGGGGAGACCCACAAAGAGCTGACAGCAGATCTACAAATGACCTTGATTAGCTCAGTTATAGGGGAAATCACACCAGTTTTTAGTACTGTGATTACTTTGCTGTAATCACTTCACAGTGATTTACTTTTCAGTACCACTAAGGTGTAAACTCAGAAGATGTAACACGTTCTCTACGCTCTAAAACACTGAAAATGAGGGTTTTCTAAAAAAAAAAGGAGAAATCCACAGGCTTTTATGTGCGACACCTGCACCAAGTTTTTCATTTATAATTTAGATAGAAAAGCAGTTCACAAATCAGGATGAACAAGGTCTGAATAAACACAGCAGAGATTTATGTGCAGAGCAGAAAACGACTGAGGGCAGGGCTTTGTTTGTCCCTAAAAGGATTCTGTTAGAGAGATTCATCCCACCCAGCTGAGAGCATTTGAGACATTCCTGTACAGACACTTCAACAACTGAGTCAACAATTTCATCCCTGGCCACCTCAGCCCTGCTCAGAAAGGAGAGACCCCATTTACAGAAGAGCATCAGAGCCAAAGGGATTTCCCATCACCAAGAAAATTCATGAGGGGCAGTGCTGGGTTTGGGGTTGGGTTGGTTTTTATGGTGTGGGGGTTTTTTTTGGGGGGGTGGGCGTTGTGGGTTTTTTTGTTTGTGTTTTGTTGGGGTTTTTTTAAAGTAAGGAGCAAAGAAAAAAAAAAGTCACCTGAAATTTGTTCAGATGCAGAAATGCAAACACACAGCAGTTGGCAGCAAAGATGCTTCTACTGCACCAGTTCACAGCGAGGATTAATAACCCTGCCTGGCAGTGTCACATGCACAGTTAACCAGGAATATTATTGAGGATCAGTAGGAATAATAATAATAATAATTTAGCTGGGCAGGTAACTAAGCTTTTCTGTTAAAGTGGCAAGGAAGGGGGATCTCTGGGAGGGTGGGAATGCAGCAGTGGGGACCAGGAGGGGTTAGACAAGCATCCAGTGCAGCTCTGCCTGCACCCCAGGGCCAGGGGACTGCCAGGGGTTCAGGGCCAGGGGACTCCCAGGGTTCAGCCCCAGGGAGGAGGGAAACAGGAACCTCCTCAGTGTGATTCCCACCACACGTTCCCAGTCAGCACATCAGGAGAACCTTCCATGGCCACAGCTGTGAGTCCACGAGCCAAAGCCCCCCCAGACCCAAGCAGCAGGATGGTCTCGGGCAAATCTTCTGTTTCTCTTTACAGTCTGTGGGTTCAGACTCGTGGCTGGGCCTTTAGAAAGCTTTTTTTTTGCACAAGACAGTGACGATCAGCACCAGATGTGCAGAGAAATCAGGAAAAAGCAGAATCTTAAAGGCTTTCACCATTGTACCTTCCTTTGATGGAAACAGCAAGCAAACGACACAAAAAAAAATTCTTTCTTTACATCCATTAAAAAGGGCAAATTCATTACAAGTAACAAAAAAAAATGTTAAAGAGAAAAAACTCGGCTTAAACCTTTTTTTCCTTGTTACAAAATACTGACTCTTTCAAATTAAACATTTTTTTTAAAGTGTTCTGTGTTTGTTTCTTTTTTTTTTCTCTGAACTGACACGATCCTCTGAAGCAAAGTTATCTGCTTTCACACCTTGGTGGGACCTTTTCAAGCAAATATTGCTTTATTTTATTTTCTTTTTTTAAGTTTCTAACAGAGCAAAAGCAGAGTCACTGCAGAGAGAAGCAATGAAACAAAGGAGGACGACGTTGATGGACTTCCCAAGGTCGCTGCAGGTGCCAGACAATGGTTCCCAGGAGGGGAAAATATGGTTGTTTAAAAACAAATTTGGTGCATGTGGCAAGCGTGGATGTGTCCCGTGAGATCCAAGGTGACATGTATGACGACAGACATAGGAAAGGGCAAGGGGGGGAAAAAGGGAGAGGGGAGGGAAGAAAGGAGGAGGAAGAAAAAAAGAAAGAAAGAGAGAGAGAGAAAGAGAGAAAAATAGATAAAAAAAATTAGGTCATAAATACAGAAAAACATAAGAATCCAAGGTCTATTTAATTTCGTAAATTAAAATGGCTCAGGGGGTTCAAGGATCAGCACATTCACGACAAAAGGGCTGGGGCAGAAGCTCAGCAAAGCCCAAAGCTGCAGAGCAGGGTCCAAGGCAGGGCTGAGGGGGTTTGCAAGCAAATGAGATTAGGACTGATGGAACAGAGGGCTCAGCGAGAAACACAAGGAAGTGGTTATCTGGTATTTGAAAGGACAACGCTGCCTTTTACACCAACAAAATAAAGGAAAGAAAAGCTTTTGTGGAGCAGACAATCCACCTGCCTGGCCAAGCCCTGCCCCAAAGCCTGGACTTGGATATATCCAGGTGACTAAACCCTGAGGAAGCACCAAGGTCTCAGGAATACACTGACTGTTCCCTTCAGCTGCTTGTGAACCACTCCAGTGCAATCACTGTTATTATTATTACTGAAACAGTGCCCCTCTCCTTCCAGCCACACCGTGCAGACCATGGGAACAAAGGGCTCTCCATGATAAATAAACACATATTTGGTCTTCAGGGAATTCCCAGCTATTGCTACCAAAGCCATGTGAGAGGCACTGGCTCTGACCTGCCCCGTGCTGCTCCTTTTGAAATCAAACTGGAAAAGCAAAATGCCAGGAGAACAACGAGAGGAAGGGAAGGAACACCCAGAGCCCCTTCCCTGCTGCAGGCTGGCACTGGAGCCAGCAGAAAACCTGCTCCCTGAAAATATTCTCCTCCAGTGCTGTTGTAGTTTGGGGATCAGCTCAGGGAACCAAAGGGTCTGGAAACACCTTGCGAGGTCAAAATGGCAAAAACCCCAAGAGACAGAGCCCCAAAGCCAGCTCTGACCACGTCACTGCCCAGGGCTCTGCTGCATCCAGCTGCTGGGGCAATCCTGCAGCACATCTGCACTCCCAAAAACTGCTCCTCCAAGTGCTTCTGACACTTCCAAGTGCAACACTTGAGCAACAGCCTTGAATCCTGGTTCCTCCTGTGCTCCACACCAGACTAAGGGAGGGGTAACTCCAGAGAGGACAAAGAACTTTCACCTTTGACAACAAACTGGGCTTTTCTGCCCGTTTTTCAGAGGGTCCCTGCCCACATTTCTGTTGGATTTAAAGGGCTCAGTGGCATCTGAGCTCGTTACCCCTGTAATGAGGATCCCTGTGTGCTCCAGAGCCAACAGCACTCCCCAACTCTGCTGAGGCCCCTCCCAGCTGTCCCAGGAGCTTTGTTGTCCCATCAAAGGCTAAAATAAAACACCAGCACGAGAAATCAGCAGTGGCTGCACACAAAGGACCGTGGTGGAACAGAAAGACTGATCAGTGCTCGTGACTTAACTGGGGAGACACATCCCAGGGCAAAGGAACCACCACTCACTGCTGCTCCCAACCTCGGGCTTTGGCTGCTCAGCTCTGAACTGACCTCAGGGCACCCTCTGCCAAACCACCCTCACCCTCTGCTGCCACACCAGCCACAGTTGTCCTTCAAATGGGTGAGGGGAGTCAGTATTAGAGCTGTTGAAAATGAGAATCAGAGAGTGAGTTGCTTAATGGGTTACTGAGGGTTCTTCCACCCAAAACTCCAGCCTTGTTCAAACAGCCCCCCCAGTCTCTCTTTGGCCCTGTTTCCCTCCTCCTCCTCCTCCTCCCTACCACACACACTGTCCAAGCCCAGCCCAACTGGGTCACTCATTTGTATGCTCAACAAACCATCCTCTGCCTCAGCCAGGGGTTTCAGCATCCCCAGTGCACAAGGTCTCAGCTGTTCCCTTCAGCCAGGCAGGGAGGGGGCAAAGGAGGGGGCAGAGCAAGGGCTGAGTTCTCAGGGCAAGGGAAAGAAAACAGTTGTTCTGAAGAAAAAAAACCACGGGACTGAGTTAATCTGGAAGACAGAATGGAATCAAATCGTTCCCCTCAGCACCAACCCTGGCAGGAGCTCTGGCTGTGCAGTGAGGACCTGGCTCAGGAGATCTTTAAAACTCCCCTGCCTTTAACCAGCACAACTTTCATGTACAGGGAGCCCAGCAATTCCAGCCTGAGGTTTTGGTTGCTTTGTGTGGGTTTCCCCCACCCATTTTTTTTCTGAATGTCCACATGCAGAAAAGAAATTCTGACTGGCCTTTCCACACCTTGCAAACTGCTCAGTTCCTGCAGCCCAGCTGATAGTTCTGCTTGGTTTTCATAGCAATTGTCCTTAAACCTCACTTTTTAAGCACACTAATAAGTAAAGTCTGTCTGAAACGAGCTTCCAGCAGCATTCTAACAATTCTTTTTAGTTATTTTTCCTAATTCCCTCCCCAACACTGAACAGGTGCTGTTTGAAAATTACTGTAATTTGATCTCCATTTAATTTAATAAAGAGATTTTCACTGTCTCCTTTCCCAACCACTAGCAAACCTCCTTATGCCTTCATTCCTCCAAAGGCTGAGCTGGATGGACAAACAAGCAGTAAAAGCAAGCCCAGAGCAGATCTGGGGGGGAAATCCACGTGGTGATTGCAGATTGCCCCACAGATAATAACGAGTTTCAAACGGGACCCCCACACACACACTTTCTGAGCCCAGAAAGCCTCATCTGGCAAATCCTGACCCACAGAAAGCCAACATTTCCTGGGAACAGTGAGGCAGGGGTTTGTCAGGAGCACTCCCTGCTGTACATACTGGAACAAGGACCACAGGTATGTACACTCAGGCCAGAACTAAGCTTTGGATGGGGAACCAACCGTGATCGATGGGCTGGAAGCAAGCGAGTCTCGGGGTTACTCAGGCACATTAAAGGAGGCAGCACCGGTGCATTAATTGGAAGCAGAAAACAACAAAAAGCTGTGCCAGGCATACCTGGGATGACAGTGGGCTGGGCAGACGTCCTGAAGGCGTAGTGGGCGGGTTTGGACTTGCCCTGCTGGTTCTCTGCCACCACATAGACCTCGTAGTCGGCGTTCCAGTCCAGGGACTTCAGCATCACGTGGTCGCTGCCCGACGGGAGCCTGATCTCCGGCTTCCACTCCGAGGAATGCTTCTGCAGGGCAGGGACAGGCAGGGAGACACAGCCCGGGGTCAGCAGCCAGCCTGCACAGCTCTCAGGGGGCTGGGCATGGGGAGTGGGGAGGCTGCAGCACCAGCAGGCAGCCCTCAGGTAGGGCAGAGCATCATATCTGTGTCCTTCAGCTCTGGCAGAGCATCACATCTGTGTCCCTCAGCACATCTGTGCCCCTCAGCCATGGCAGAGCATCACAGCTGTATCCCTAAGCTAGGGCAGAGCATCACATCTGTGTCCCTCAGCACATCTGTATCCCTCAGCTCTGGCAGAGCATCACAATCCACACAAACATCCCATCAATCCACCCAAACAACTCCCAGGGGGGTCAGAGGACGGTCCCAGATCCCTCCCAGTGGCAGCATGAGGAGCAGTGCCCATAAACCAAAGCACAAGTTCCACCTCAACACGAGGAGGAGCTTCTTCCCCTGGAGGGGGCAGAGCCTGGAACAGCTGCCCAGGGAGGCCGTGGAGTCTCCCTCTTTGGAGACATTCCAAACCCACTTGTTCCTGTGCCACCTGCTCCAGGTGACCCTGCCTTGGACTGGATGATCTCCAGAGGTCCCTTCCAACCCCAACTATTCTGTGAAAACATCCTCTCTAAGTGGAGAGGATGAGAGAGACCAAAACAGCCTCTTCCCTGCCCAGAATCCTGTTTTCTGCATTACCACACCCAAAGAAAATCCCTCATTTCCTCCTCTCATCTTTGCCCCATCATTAGACACCTTTCAGAGGGGCAAAAGCTGCAGCTTCTCTACCTCTCTGCCTTACAAAGAACACTTTAAGAGTGTTCTTACATATCTTAGCATGTCAAATTTAAACCAGTGACACAGATTTACCTCTTCACACAGCTCTGGCCTGATTTACCACCCCCATTCCATTCCCAGCCCGGCCTGGCCTGGCAGATCCCAGTTTTGGGGCTGTGTTGCCTGCCCAGGGAGCAGGGGACAGGCTGGGGGGGTGTCACACTCACAGCTTTGTACTTGATCAGGTAGTGTCTGATGGGGGAGCCCCCGTCGTCCTGCTTGATGACGTTCACTTTGATGGAGTTCCCGTCCTCTCCTATGTGCCCTTCCAGCTTGGGAGCGCTGGGTTCCCCTGGAACAAGGGGGGGATTTAGGTTGGTTTGTTAAAAAAAAATAAAAATCATCAGGGGAAAAGTGCTCAAAGATCAGAGGAGCAGTTCATTACCCTCAGGGTGTCAGAGCCATCCTGACCCCGACACTCTGTGTGTCCAGGGCACAAATCTCTGCCAGACCCAAGGGTTCCCTGCATTTCACCAGCACAAGTTCCCATTTTTGTGTGTGCTGGAAGCAGAGGCTGAGTGACAAAGGCCCCACCCTTCCCCTGGAGCCATGACCAGATATATCCTCTCTGCTTTTGCTGGAAAAACTGATGTGAAACACCCCGAAAACACCAAGGTGGGGGATGGGGCAACCAGGCTGCTCCTGTGGGACGGGGATCTAAAGAGCATCACTGAAAAGGGACATTATTCCTCAACACACACTCCCAGCAACACCAAAGTGAGGTGAAATACAGCTCACAAATGATCCAGCTCTCAAGGTATCCCACAGGGAACGACACCAGAACTCTGCAACAGTGAGATCTGTGACCTCAGGAGGAGCAAATGAGATCAAAACTGGATGCTGAAGTAACATTTGTGACTTTTTTTTAAAGCTCAGCCTGCTGCCGAGAATAAAACTTTTTAAAAGACTTATTTCTATTCAATACTACCAAAAGTGAAAGGAAATAATAAGCCAGTTGTACTAAGGTCAACCCAAAACCCATCCTCAATTCTAAATCTGTTCTGTCTGGATTTGTATTCAGCTCCTAATGGGAAGCACATGCATTTCTGACTGGCCACAGAAAAGTTAATCTTCCAATATAATTCAAAAGTTGATCTTCATTAGTAATCTGAAACCCTTCCCCCTCCCCTTTCCTGGCCAAAGAAAGGATTTGAGCACATTTTGTTTGGTGAAACATCAATGAGAAAACTGCAAGACCTGGACTGACACAGTAATTTAAGATTAATTCCATTTTCTTGCACACTATCACATGCTCTAACATCCCAGCTGCTCCCAGAAGGCAATTCCCATCCATGGATACCCCAATGGGAGACACACACACTTGTGTTTCACAACACAGCAACTTCACTTAAAGATGTACAGAGGCAATGCTCCCTTCTCCCAGGTTTTATTTTGCTTTTCCAAATCCCTGCTCTGCCTCTGCCTCCATTACAAGGCTCCCCCATGGAAGTTGGACACTCCAGAGCTGGATTCCACCCTGGGACAATCAGATCAACCAAGCAATTATATTTTTTTTTCTTTCCTCAATCCTAAAGAAAAACATCACCACAAAGTTACAGGTTTGGACTACTGAGTTAAGAAGCTGCTCTGCAACAACACTGGTTATTCACCAATAATTAAACAAACCCAAATGTCTGGTTCTATAGTTTTTTAACACAAGAAACCAGCTCCCAGTAACAACTGGGAACAACTCCTGGCCACTGGTCTGGCTGCACACTGAGCCATTCCTGAGCAGCAATTCTGGAGGTGTGAGGGATGGGGTCACTGCCAGCTGGGCAGGGCAGGAGCAGCATCTCCTGGGGCTCTTTGCCACCCTCACATCAGAGAGATAATGAGCAATAAGTAAAGAGAAGCTGGAGTGATAAGGGAACACTGTACTTACAGAATTTGACCTTTTATCTAACACAGGATAGATCTTTTTTTCCAGTGACTGAGCACCAAGACTGAGAGGAACATCCTTTGAAAAGATGCTCGTTCTTGATTTTAAATGTCAGAGATGCTGCTGCTCTTTCTACACAGCCATTCCCATGATTAATTACCTTCTCTGCTGAACCTTTTCTTCACTTTGAATTGCCTGATTTCTAGCTCCTGATTCCTTCCTTCCTCAACACCTAAATTCACTTCTGCCCTGAGAAACATTCTGTTCAAAGAGGAGAACTCTGAGCACTCCTCAGGGCTGACAGGAGGAGGAGCAGTGCAAACCCTGCTGAAAATACTCCAGCTTTCTCTCCATAATTACACAGCATTTCATTTCTCTTAGGCAGGTGGGTGTAATCCAGATACAACAGGGCTGCAAAATTAAAAATGGGTTAGTGTGTCAAACAAAGGAAGAAGAAGTTTAGTGGGAAGAGTTTAGTCCAGCAGAATCAGCAGCCCCATGATGAGTGAGGATGTGAAGATGTCAGTAGCTGGAGAGAGAAGGTTGTCAGCAGCAGGTTAGAGAAGCAGCTCATGCTCACAGACATGCATCCTCCCTACAGCCCGGGGCTGAAAGGCAAACAGCATTACAGGGGGGGCCTCATGCCTGGGATCCCCCACTCACACCCAGCTCACGTTGCAGAAATCTGCCCCTTCCACCCTTCTCAGGGGCATTTTCCAGCCTTAACGTTCCACAGAATGTGGGGTCCTTGAGGAATCCCCCTGGGGCTCAGTGAGAGTCACCAGCTCCAGGCACACCAGACTTCCTCTGGACCCTCATTTTCCAAACATCTGCTTCAAACCCCCTCTGCTGCAGGAGCAGGGACGCAGGACCCTGTGCTTCCACAGCCTGAGCCCAACTTCACCCCCAGGACACTCTCCAGGACAAAAGCAATCCAAACAGTGCTTCACCTGTGGGAGAAGCCAAGAGATGTGCCCTCCTTTAACTCTCAGAAAGGAGCCCTCCAGTGCTTGGCTGTGCTGAGGAAGCAGGACTGTCCCTCCAGGAGGTGTCAGAGGTGCTGGCACTGCCCTGGCAGGGCACACATCCCCAGGGAAGCTCAGACATCCCTCCTCTGGGCTCCAGAGGTAACTCAGAAGGAATCTGATCAACTGGACATGAAATCAGGACTTTCCTGCAGGCTCCCAAAGGCTGAATCACTCCCTGCTGGCTCCCACACATGGTGTGAGGGGAGCTGAGGACAGTGCTCTGAGCCCTTACGCTTCCAAATGGGTTTTTATCCACTCCTGCTAAGCCATTAGCACCAATAATCTCCTGCTGCAGGGCAGCACCTAATGGCTCCTGGTATCCTTGCACTGTTCAGTTTACATTCAGTGCTTCCTTGACCTGCTACCAGTCTGATGGAGTTGGGTTTCAGCAGCTGGTTTTATTTTTACCTGGTTTTCAGAGGGTGCCACAAGCACCAGGAGTGCAGGAAAACTTCAGGTGGGGGGAGAATATGAAAAAAATCAGCACCAACTTCTTGCTGGTGCCAGGGCACTCAGTGTGTGCTGGACCCCAGAAGTGACAGCAGTGCAGGTGAGACACCTTTTATCACATCTGTCCTCTGCCCACCTGGGAAAGCAGCTCAAACTGGTCACCAGACACTGCAGCACTACTTAGGCTGAGCTTAAATCCTTGCCCTGCTGGCACCAGGGAAAGATCCTGCATCCTTGCTGTGCTCAGAGAGTACAAACTGCTGTTGAGGGCAATTTCTGCCACACAGGGACAAGGAAGGAGCTGATTTCTGCAACCTCTGACCATCGTGTAAACAGGAGCAGATTGTGACCTGAGGAGTCACAACTGGAAAGAGACACCAGGGAAAGTCTCCACGAGTGGTAAATACAAAGAACAGCTCAGGAGGTCTCAGAATGCACACAAGAGAAGCAAAACACCAACAGTCAAAAAGAAGGAACAAAAAACATGCAAAAACAAGACAACCAAGTCTTCAACCCTCCTGGAGTCCAACCAGAGAGGGCAGAGACCCAGGGAAGAGGGGTTTGCTCTGTGCATGCAGTCATGTGGGAAGGTTACTGGTGTTAGTTCTGTTTTCCTGGCAAACCCCAGCCTAAATCCTTTCCTGGACTGTCCAAGGCAATAAGGCGAGTTCGGAATTCACAGGTTGAAAAAAAGCCAATTGCTTCCTGGTTTTCACAGTCCCTTGTTGAGCTGGGGCAGCAGAAGAGTTTCCCTCCCTCCTCCCCTTCAGGTTATGCAGAGCATGAAGTGAACTGTAAAAATCCCAACGCTGCAGAAACTGTTGTCACTGCCACACACTTCACTTGGAGGCTGATTCCAGCTCCAGAAGCTGCAGGGGTCAGTCATTTGCTTCTTGATTCCATGGAGATCAGCAGCTACTGGGACATGAGTTTGGGTTAAATCCTTGCCAGGCTCCCAGATACTCCAGGGGTGGAGCAGCAAGAAAGGTGCAACAGCACCTCTGATGGAAACTGTGTGAGGTGGAGCTCCCATCATGAACTCTGGGTGTGCTATTTTATAGTATATATACTATAGGTAGCATTATATATATATATTATAGTGTATATATACAGTATTTTATAGCAGAGCTCCCATTCGAGCTGTGCTAAAGTTTTACTCACAATAGAAAAAATCATTTCTTAAATCTCAATGTGACATACATTCCCAATAACTAGATCTCAGAGATAGACAATTTAGGATTCATTTGGAAGGCTGCTAAACATGTACAGTGTGAATGTGTGTGTATATATATATATATATATACACCTCCATAAATGTGTGTTGTACAGGGGCAAAATGCTGCTAAAGCCACAACCCCCCATCAAATACCAGCCTGTGGTTGGTACCCTGAGGGGCAAAGGGATTGTGGCCACTGGTGCTCATTCCAGAGTGTTCCAGAACCTTCCTGGGACAGCTCCTTGCTGGACTCAGAGTGAAGAAGCAAATGACCGAGCCAGGGGATTTTTGCCTTGTTTTTTTTTGTTTTCCCTCCAGGCTTTTTCCCAGCTCAGTGCAGGAGACTGAGGTGGAGTTAATGCAGAAGTCGAGTCCTTCACATGCAGACAAAAGTGATTTGAGCAACTTCTCCAAAAAAGGGGCTCATGGGAGGATTTGTGGAGTGACGGAATTTGGAGCGTCCTCACCCCAAATCTAGGCAACCAATCAGAACAAAGTGTTTTACCTTCTGTTCACCAGCGAGGACGACATCAGCAGCACCATGCAAGCCACATGACAAAGTCACATGATACGCACGCACATGATTTGGTTGAAAGGAAAGTGGAGGAGGTCACATGGAAAATACAAAAAAATTAAAAAACTGATGTAAACAATGGGCAAGGGAAAAAAATCAACAACAGAATTACAGACTAAATAAAATAGGAGCAAAATTAAATTAGCCAGTATACATCAGAAACACTGGGGGAGACAGTAAAACCGCCTGGAAAATAAGAATATTAAACCACAGAAAGCACTGGGTTATGACCTGGGTTAGGCACAGCTGCGTCACTGCTTAGTGATACCACGTCAGAGAACAAAAGGAGCACAAATTATTGCAGAGTGTGTGCCAGAAATGCTGGAGGAATCCACAAGACTGTTGGAAAGAAAAAGGGAATATTGTTACTCAGACACAGCCGAGGTGGAAGGGGCAGAACCAGCCCAAGGGAGGACAAACCTTGGCATCCCACACTGAGGTGTCCTCCCCTCTGCAGGACAAACAACAACAACAACAACTGCAAGAGAGAAAAACCTGCTGGGTGTGAAGGTTTCCAAGGCCAGAGCTTTCCATCAAGGAGCTGCAAGTGGAATGTGGTCAGTGAGAGCTGCACTGGGGGCCCCAGCTCTGCCCCACCCCGGGGGCTCCACTGAGGCTCTGGGTGTGCAGGGGGGGTTCTGTCAGTGGGGAGAGGGATGAAGAGCTCTGCTCTGCAGATTAATGACCAAGCTGGCCCAGGGGAGACAGCAAGTGCTGGAAAAGATGAAGGGATGTGCAGTGTGTGACAGGGGAATGGCACAACATCAGGTGTCACAGCGGAGCACACACCCAGTCCACGCTCCACTTCCCTTCCTAAATTACTCTCTCCTTTATAACTTGCATTTTTCATGCTCATCCCTCTGTCTCACCTTAATGAGGCAACTTCACAGTGCTCTGGTACTTCCCTGTTAATGTGATGTATAGAGAATTAAACCCTTAATCTTTTGGGTGCTTGTTCCCTGACAAGATTAAAGACACACTATTACCAAGGAAAAAAACTGATGGTACAAAATGTAAAATCCATTTGTTACAACGAAGCTCTCAATCCATTCTCTGCAGTTATAAATACAGCCTCACACAGCTCTGGGCAGGGGCATGGTGAAGGAGGGAAGTTTACTGGGCCTGGAAGGAGTGGAAGGGAAAGGAAAAAGAAAAGGAGTGTGAAAGACAAATGAATTAATGAACACCTGTTATCAGACTTTCACTTTTTAGGTAAACAGGCTTCCCTCATGTGTGTTTGTCTTATTGCAGCAAATACTCAGTGGACAGGCCCATTTCTGGGGGAAATAAATTCCAAAGCCAGAGTCTCCAGCTCCTTGGGGTGCTTTTCCCAAGCCTGCATTGGCTGGATGCACTGTGAGAGGTAACACAGACTTTACAGGAAAAACCCCCTCAGTTTTCCACCTCAATGTCTCTTGCTCAGTGTCCTCCACCTCCCTCATCCTGCAAACTGAACCTCTTGGCCAGTACCTACTAAATAAGACAGAAGTTCCTACAGATTCTGGAAAACCAAGAGACTGGGGAGAAGAAACATTCAAGTTAGTGCCTCATCTGAAAAAGAATCCACTTTTTCAAGTGCAAGCCAAACCAGATTCCTCAGTGGAGAGAGCTGCAAGAAAAACTTCATTACTGCCACTGGTACAGAACTATTTATTGGAGCAACCTCAGAGGATTAATTCCAAGGAGATACATATTCCTTAACCTCTTAACATGACTACAGACATCTCCCATATGCTCCTGATCACATCAAGGCAAAAACTCACTAAAGCCAGTGAAGAAACTCTTCAGCTTCATTAGGCTTCAATTCCTGACTTCATGGTGCCACCCAGCAACTCTCATTTTCTAATTGCTCTTGGTTTCATTCACTGAACCCCTGAGGTCAGGGCAGGGTAAAACACAAGATCATTCAGCAGCAGCAGCAGTAATTAAATGATGCAAAGTTATAAGAGCATCAGCCCTGTGCCAGAGCTCTTTTTGTGCTGTTGAATATCACATCTTGCTGTGCTGCAGAACAGCCCAGCATACAAATGGGGCTGCTCTTTGCACAGACTGAGTCTGTACACAAATGACAGGGACAGGGCAGGAGAAAAAGCTGAACTTCAGCGTGGGGGAAAATGGAAACTTCTGTCCTTACAAACCCCCCATCCCTCCACACACAGCCCCTGCCCCCAGACCAGAAACAAGGGTGGAGAATGTTGATCACAAATCAGCCCTCGGTCTCTTTTCTGGGTAAAGATTCTTTTCTGGGGAACAAAATGTTCTGCAAAACATTAACCCATCGTTTTCCCTCCAAGGGAAGCCCACACATGAACAGCCCCAGCAGAGCCTCTGCCTCCTAAGGAATAAAGGATTATTACAGACTCTGCCCTTCTCCCTTTCCTCCCCATCCTCCAAGTCTGATGAGAATTAAAAAGCCTCCTCAGCAATTCAGAACCCCCAGCACTCGAGTGCATCAGGAAGTGGGGTTTGGCCCTTTGGACAAAGAAAATACCCTGCAAGAAGGAACTCGTGGCCACTGGCAGATAAAGGACATGGGTTAGAGCACAGAATGTGCCAGTCATAAATGCAGCAATAATTAGGGGGGGTTTCATTCCTTTTACTGGCCATCCCATCCATCCCAACCCCCAGAACAATCACACACATCTCATGCTTTTATATTTTCCACTTAGAAGCAACGACCCACTTCTAACCCACTGCAGGTCTCCAGCCTGGAGATCACATTCCCAAAACACAGACCCTTGGTTATTGCAAACCAAAAGAGAAGCATTTGGCCTTGCAGGAATGATTAGTTGCTCAAAACACACGTGTGCACCACGAAAACCTGGCTCTTCCTCAAGGGTTTTTTTATTTCTCTCATGATTTTGTTGCAGGTATTTGCTTGGCTTTTCTGTGGACATGTGACTGACTGCAAATCTCCTCCAGGCAGGGATTAAAGTCACCCATGTGACACATCCACTCAGTCCCAGGCAGGGGTGGCCCTGGACTCTGAACAGGCCAAAGCAGACACTTCAAAATGGTTATTTTGGGTACAAATCAACCCATGCAACTCTTTCAGCTGGTTTTCCTTGGACTACCCAGATCCAGCCTCACCAGGAATGGCTGCCCAGACAGCAAGGGATGGGCAAGAACTGAGGGAATCTGAATCCAGGCCCGTCTCAGGTAGGATTTCTTGGGAAGTTTACACCTCTTTTAAGGCAAGCAGGGCCCTGGTGGTAAGATGGGGCAAAGCTCCCTCTCTCCTGTAAGATATTCCACCTCCTCATTTGCATCTCTTTCAGCATCCAACACCCACACTTTTAATATCAACTCTATCTCCCTGCATTCAAAGAGAACAGAGCAAGGCAGGGCAGCAAGGAGATCCTTTAGTCCACATCCCTTTTTGCAAAGGCATCTTTAACACCAAAATCACTGATGGGGAACGTGAAAGGCAAATACTCCTTTTGGAAATTATAATTTCTATTTCTTTTCCCCCCACCTCCATCCCCCTTTGTGTTCCTTCTAGATCTTCCATCTCCATTTTTCAGCACATGCTTGGAGGGCTGAGGGGAGGAGGAGGAGGAGGCAGAGTGGCCCCATGCTGGGATCTCCCCATGCTCACACCACACACTGTTGGTTAACAGGCACCAGGACGAGGCAATACAGCACTTCAATGCCCTCTTCCAAGGGCTGCAGCAGCACAAGCAGCACTCCAGAGCAGGGGCAGCACTGCCCAGCACTGCCCAGCTACTCACTCGGGGCCTCTGGGCTTTGGGATTCGGCAGCAGGAGGAGTTGCTATGGAAACGTGGAGGATGCACAGGATACATCAAGGTGAAACCCCGTGGAAATCAAGGGGAAGGGGCAGGGGGGACAGAAAGGAGAGAGAGGAGCTTTAGTGAGAGTGAGAATGACCTGAATCCTTGTGGCAGGGCTGTGCTACCTCAAGAGGCTGCAAAAATCGTGCCCTGCTGCTGCTTTCCAGCCCTCCCTCCACAGGGAAAGGACTTCCCTGCTCTTTCCCACCTCCATGCACTGCATCCAGGGAACATGCAGAGAGCAGGAAAAGGGACTAACAGCCCTGAAAGTGGGAGCACCTTGGGAAATGAGTGAGTTCTGATAGAAGCTGCCAGCCTGCACTGCCCAGGCTGCACCAGGAGATACAGGGATTCCCAGGACAGAAGGACAAGGAATGCCCTTGCTCCCAAAAGCCCTGGGGAGAACACAGCAGGAGAGACACAAGTGGGAGGGATTTCTCTCCTGTTGCACATAAAATCTTTTGGTTTTAAAGAATTATCACTGCCCTGCCTCCAAGACCCCAAGAACCATCAGTGACAGAGAGGGGTAAATCCCCTTGAGGGGCTGGGGAGCAGCCTCATGGAGGGAAAAATAAGAGAAAAGCAGGAAAAAACACCCAGGGATGTTAGGAAACCCCCCAGGGATGTTAGGCAGACTGCACTACACCCAGTGAGAAGATCATGCAGAGCACAGAGGACCAAGGGCAGCCCTTTGTGCTGTACTCACTCTCTGCTAAACGGGAGGTGGGGGCAGCAGGACTCGCTGGGGAAAGAGAAAGGCAGGTGAGGAGGGGAGGGGATTCCTGGTAAAAACTGCCCAAAGGGAGAACCTGAAGGGATTTGGAATCTGGGGGTTATTCTAGTGTTGGGGGTTTGTACATGGAGATGTTTTGGTGTCAAACCCGGCGCTCCCAGGGATCCCAGTGGGGCTGTGCCTGGAGCAGCAGAACAGAATTTGCAAACAACAAATACAGTTTAGCCCACAAAGAAGGGAGAAGAGCTGGAACTTACCCTACAGGGGAGCAGAGCTGGGGGCTATGGATTGACCAGCAGCCCACTGCCACATTAAAAACCACCAAAAGACTCCACAACAAATGTGCTTTAATGCCCCTCAAAGCCACACACCTGTCCCCAGGTGAGGGACGTGAGGCTTGGCACACAGAGCTGATGGCGTGGCTGAAACAAAGCTTTTAATGGTTTTTTTCCTCTCTCCTTAATTGGATTTTTTCTCTTTTCCTGCAGCCCTGGTGTGCACACCCCAGCCCTGATCTCCCCTGGCTATCACTGATATGTCCAACCCTCCCCAGACCCTGGGAGCTATAACACCATCCATGATTACCTTCAGAGGAGGGATATAATTACTTCTGCTGGAATTAACAGGCTCCACACAATTGCAGGCCCCAGACTGCACATATGTTGTGGAAAATGTCTCCCAGGTGACTCTCTAACTGCTGCAATTTGCAATTGTCTGTCCATCTGTCCCTTCATTCATCCACCCTGGCTACCAACCCACCCATCCTCTCACTGCTCCACTGTGTCCAAGCTTTTATACAAAAGTCTTGAAGGAAAAGCAGCACAGGCAGGATTTAAACACGGGAATTTGGGGTAAAAATAAAAATGATTTCCTGTTTTTTTTACTTTGGCTTCAGAAATCTCAAAGGATGTGACAGCAGCTTCCCCAAGCTTGTCCATGGAATCTTGGGAATAACAGCAGTTCACCACAAGGACACATTAATAAGGAGAATAATGTTCACTGAGATCAAGAGGTTTCTTCTGGCTCCATTGATTAGCTCTGATTGGAACAGCACAAAGCTATGGAGCACCCAGTGTTTCACTGACAATTAAACACATCCATCACATTTCTGACTCACTTTGAATATGCTTTTTGTTTTTCATTTAGTATGAGGTTTATTTAAGTACACAATCTACACAAGTGCTGGAAGACTGTCCAAAGACTACTAATGGTAAAAATTACTGGTGAGAGGAGGTAAAAAAGGTGAATTTTTTTCTCTTGAAGTTTTTGCTTTCAAAATTGTGAAGATATTAAAAATTTAGAAGTTTTTGGTTGGCTCTTAATTGGTCTAAAACAGACTTGAAATTTAGCTAAAACTTCTTCCTCTTTGGTTTCCCTGAATTATCTATATTTTATTAAAATTTAACGATTTTAATGGATTCATAAATATGAAGCCTTCCACTACTCCAGTCTGTAGTCAATACACTATCTATAATTATTATTAGACAATCACTATGTTAAATATTTCAGTTGCATGCTTTACACTAAAGACAAATGTGTTAAGCCCTAATTCTGTTCTAAAAAAGAGCAGCATCACCCAGAGCAGGGTGACTATTCTAGAGTCAGTCTTGTTAGGAAATGGACACTACCAGTTACTCCATTTCTAAAGACCCTGAGAGGAAAAAGGCACTAAATTAAAAGCTAATGTTCTGTATGTTAGAGGAACAAAAAAAAAAAACAGAGAGTGAAAGAAATGCAGAGAGCACTTACGTGGGTGAGGGATGCCTGCAGTTTATCCATGGATGGAACACAGACCAAAAAAATAAAAAGACAGAGATAGACACACAAAAAAAATGTAGAAGATGTGAGAAGAGGAGACAGAGAACACGGAGCTGGAAAATCAAAATCCCACAGGTGTCCTGCCCCACACTGCTCTGCTCAGCAGCTCTGGGGAGGCACAAGTTGGCAGAGAAAAACCAAGACCATGCACAGCTCAGGGGCCTCCAAACATGCACCTGATGGGCTGGGAACTGCTCTGAGTTCAGAGAGGCTTCAGAAGAGCTACAGAACGGGACAGAGGTCTGGGTGTGATGGGGGGAAGAAGAACAGGTGAAGATCTGGATGCAGGGGAACGGGAAAGAAGAACCACAGAACCACCACCTCTCCCCTGCCTGCTTTTGTCACACCTCCCCAGCCCACTCTGCCCCTTTTCTTTCTCTTTTGTCTCATTCCCATCTTGAATAACGCTGATTTGGAATTCCTGCCACCTTCACTCTTGGCTGGAACAGGAGGGACAGTGTTGGGCCACATTCTGTGCCTGGACTGGAAGATGAGCCAGCACAGCACAGCAGAGGCTGTGGGATCCCCTCATGGATGGGCACCTCAAAGCAGGGATGTGCAGAAAAGAGAACCCTCCCTTCCTCAGCTCATGGCCTGGATGTGCTGAACATCTTCACTTCTGCTTTGCAAAGCAAACCTGCCCTGTGCCAGTGACACCACACTCTCCAGGACCAACACCCTCCTCAACTTATTCATTTTTCTTTATTATTATTATTATTTATTTTATTTATTATTATCCTTTTCCTTATTTAAACCCCCCCTTACACAGTCCCTTCTCTTTGGCAACACCAAGTCCCTTCTGGCAACCCAGGGCACCAACCAGTGCAGGTAAAACAGCTCCTCTGCCTCCTCCCTCCCAGGATGAGCCACCAAATCCACCACAACCCAAACCCACCCCGAGAACACGGGGGGCAGCCGGGCCTGCGAGACAAGGAGGTGTCATTCCATGCATGGCAGAGATTCCCTGGAAGGACTGAAGGTGAGGTGAGCAGAGGGGCAGGGCAGGGCTGGGGCTCACTTACGGACTGGCTGTGTCTTGAACTCGGAGGGCAGGCTGAGCTCCCCCACGCCCTTGCCGTTGACAGCAGACAGCCTCACCGAGTAGGTGGTCTCAGGCTTCAGGCCAGTGATGGTGATGGTGCCCTCCACGTTGGCTGGGGCAGAAACAAGGGGAGGAAAGCAAAGAAAAGCTCAGGGGTCGTGGTGATACGAAGAAAGAAATAAGCTCTGTTTTTTCCTGCGCAGACACGAGGGAGGAAAGAGAGGAATAAACCTGACTCTGTGTGATCCCATCACTCCAGAGGGGACCTAACGGAAGAATTTCAGTTCCAGACAGGATTGGTGGAGGAAGATTCAGCTCTGGAATAGAACTCTCCTTTTCACAGTGACAAAGTCACAGAATATTCTGTGTTGGAAGGGACCCACAAGGACCATCAGGTCCAACTCTAAAGTCCCCCATACAGGGACTGAACCCAGAACCTTGGCATTATTAGCACCAGCCTCTAACCAACTGAGATAATGTCTAATCCTCCCAAATCAAAATGAGTTTGGTTTATTTGACTTACAGATCCATCTGAAGCAGTGTGCAGTGCTATAGATTGCTTTAACAGGATGGGGTGTAATGGGAGGCAGCTTTGACTCCCATTTATTTTCCAAGGGGAATTGAGGGGCTTGAAAAGCCTCCAGTGGGAAGCACACAGACAGTCAGCAAGTGAACATTTATCTGATTCCAAGCACAGGGCTCCTCACCTCACTCAGGGAGGGTGGTGTGAACAAGGAGGGGCTGCAGAGATGGGCACAGTGCTGCCCACCCCCTCTGTGCCCTGTCACACAGGTCCAGCCCTCAGCACACTCATCTCCCAGGGAAAACACAACCTGCCACTGCACAGCAAATGTTTAAGAACTATTCTGGGGCCTTATAACTACAGGAGGTGGAAGTGCAAAGCTGTGGAACCCTCCTCTGTGGCTGTTCCCTAAAGGACAGTCGGTCTGGGGAGGTTCAGGTGGGGGAGGTACCACCTGGTTGTGCTGTCCTACCTTCTTTTGCATCATACAACCTGGAATGCCACTCTCCCTCGCCCAGGGCCCTCCACTCTGCCTTGTACTTGAGGATGGGAACCCCACCAGTGGCTTCAGGCTCATCGAACTCCACCTGGGCAGTGCTGGAATAGGGCTCCACTCTGTCGATGGACGGGGAGGACGGAGTGTCTGCAGGAGAAGGGAAGAGAACCAGAGACACAGGAGGGATCAGGGAAAAGAAAGCAGCAAACTGGGGACATCAATGACACCCTTGGCATGGCTTCACAAAGGAGAGGAGGAGGTTGGGCCTGAGGCTCCCTTTGGAGCAGCTTTTAAGAAGGTTAATTAGTGCAGAGACCTTCACTTTGTCTCCTCTCTGTGAGGCTGGAGACTCACGGTCCCTTCTCTAATTGAGGACAACCAGAGCAGTGCAGCAAAAGTACCCTGGACGCTCTTCTGTCCCTACAGTCCTTCCATGGGGCACTGCAATACAGAGCCTGACCCCAGAGACCCTCCCAGGGTGTGCTGCAGTCAGACACGGCCCCTTGGGCTGGGCCAGCTCTGGGGTTTGTATCGTGCACTCCCTGTACCATCAGGGGTATTTTGCTGATTTGGGGAAGCACCTGTGCACACACATGCAATGTCTGTCAGAAATTACACATCACAGCTCTGTCAAGGTGTGCTGGAAGCACGGGAAAGGACGAGACCCTCCAGAAACAAGGAACCGGAGACACTGAGCATCTACAGCACAGAGTCTGGAACAGCCTCTCTGAAAGCAGAAGTTGGCTCTCCTGCTGAACACAAACTGCAACAGAAGGGCCACTCTGTCACCTCAGTTCAATGCCCCACACAGTTCATTCCCTGCTCTCCTGCCTGGGGTGCTCACCTGCCTGCACCAGGATGAACTCGGAGGACTCCTGGCCGATGCGGTTCACGGCTGTGCAGTTGTAGTTCCCAAAGTCGTTCTCCGAGTCTGGGGTCACCTGTGTGGGAGGAATGAAGGCTCATGCTCGGATCAGAACCCCCTTCTCACTCTGCCAAAGCACTCCTTGAACTGGAGGGGCCCTACAGCAAAGTCCAGGTGTTGGCACTCCCAGGGCTGTCCAGGGGGGAGAACTGCAATGGGCAAAAACCAAAGGCAGGGAGGGGGTTGTGTCCTGTATTGCCTGATTTTCTCAGCATGGATGTGCCAGAAACATCACACAACTCCATTTCTACCAACAGGGTGTCCTTGCAAAAGGCTTAACTCCTTCAACATCAGGAACACCAACGATTTGAGCCTCCCTGGCTGCACATGCCTCCTTCCCCCTGGCTTTTCCTCACCTCCTTCCCCCCTGGCTTTTCCTCACCTCCTTCCCCCCTGGCTTTTCCTCACCTCCAGGTAACTTGCTGAGGGAGTGTTGTAGATCTTGATGTTGCTGTAGTTGGAGCTGGGGAGCAGCTGCCCGTCCCGGAACCAGGAGATGACAGCACTGGGGTAGGCAAACACCTCACAGGTGATGTTCACTTGGTTTCCCTCCCAGGTGTACACAGCCACGGGGCCCTGGAGCTTGGGGGCATCTGCAAGACAGATGTTTGTGAAGGTAATTTGAGCCAATCTCCCAAAGCAGCCCAGGCAGCCTCACTCTAAGGATCCCTTGGCTGGGGTCCCCTTCAGTGTGGGAAAGGGAATCTAATATAGGAAATGGGAACTGTCCTCTCAGAGTGTATTCTGCTGAAGGACATAAGGAGGAGACCTGCTCCATCCCAAAGCTGCTCCTGTGCAGTGTGGGAGGAGCAGAGAGCATGATGCAACCAGGAAATTGTAATGGAGAGAGATTAGATCCAGCTACAACTCCTACATTGAAGAGGAGAGACACTGCTGCCCTGAACGTGGAAAGGATCTTTCCTTCTTCCCTTCTGGACTTTTATTGGAGGGAAAAGAGATTTGATCCAATGTAAATACTGCTTTATCATAGGAGAAATAATTAGGATTGTGTATATAATGTATTATAATATTTATTTGTGTAATTATGGTAATATAATTCCCTTCCCCCCATATTAAATCTTGTGTTGTGTCTGGAAAACCCCTCTCACACTGAAGTGAGTTGTGGGAGGGGGGCTTGGACTCGGAAATTGGATTTTTAGGAGTCTCAAACCACGACAGAAATTATGCCAGGAAGTTTTTCTAGGGAAGAACTCTGCTGCACCCAACAAATGGGACTGCAGCAGATCCGTGGCCCATACCCTTCCCAAGGTGCACAGAGCACCCCAGCTGGAGACAGGCACAGCAAACACCCTGCAGGCAGGCACCCAGCAACGTCTCCAGCTAAATGTGTTCAGGCTGAGCTGCTTCCCACACCCTCACCCTACATCGGGCACATCTGGAGCCGGAGGCACCTCGGTGTCACCGCAGGGAAAGGGAACCCAAACACTGCCCCCTGCCAACCCCTTCCCCAGCCCAGGCTCTGCTCCTTACACTGCACTTCCAGGTACATGGCCTGGGAGTCCTGGCCGATGGTGTTGCTGGCAGTGCACACGTACTCCCCCGCGTCCGTGTACTGGATCTCCTTGAGCGTCAGTGACGACACCCGCGCGTGGCTGCGCACGATGATCCGCCCGTCCAGGGTCTGCCAGGGAGGGAAAAACCCTGTCAGAGGCTGAGCCCCCACCCCGGGCTGCACACTACAGGGGTGGGAGCAAGGGCAGCTCTACCTCAGGCCAACCCTGCGGGGCTCAGGGCTTGGGAGGGGGGCACCCGAGGCCAGAGGTCACTTCCAGAAGCAACGGGAAGGTTCCCGGTCACACGGGGCCGACTGCAGTGACTCACAGCACTCAGGAGAAGGGGGGAAAATGAGATGAAGGACCAAAGTATCAGATGCTACTACGAAGATCTGAGGGCAACCAAAGTCAGGCTTCTCCCCAGAATGAGAAGTGCAGAGATCCGGCTCTGGTTAGAAGTTTTTGTCAGCGTGGAAGGAAATAAAGGAAAACTCCCCCATGGCTACTGTGCTTCCCCTCAGAGAATTCAGCCCTTCCTGCTCTCTCACCAACACTGCATTTATTTCAGTGTCCTTGCAATGGCATTAATAAGAGCAGATCCAGAATTCAGAGTAGAATCATGCACAAAGAAAGCTCAGAACTTCCACCTGAACACGGCACGAGAACAGAGAAAAGTGCAGAGGGGCACAGGAAAAGAGATGAGGGCAAGAAAACTACAAGACCCTTGTAGAGACAGCCCTGCTTCAAGGCCTTGTGGTGCTTCAAGACAATTCTAGAACAATCTCCCACATGCAAGAAAGTGTGGAGATGTCACTGACAGAGAGACCAGGAATGTAAAATCCAGGCCACCAGCTGCTCCAAGGGACTGTGCCCACCCAGCCATCCCATCCCATCCCATCCCATCCCATCCCATCCCACCTCATCCCATCCCATCCCAGGCTGGGTTTGTTTCCTCTCCAGTTTGGGACCAAAGCTCAAGTGCTCTGTTAACACACTCAAGGCCACTCAAACCCTCTCTCCACCCTGGTGCTCCAGCTTGGAAGCTTTAAAGCACCAACTGTCTCATCCCATCTCCAAAGTGGCACAAGGGAATAAATCTGGTCCCATCCTGGCTGTGCCTGCTGCTGCTGCAGCCTCCACTCCTCCTGCAAGTCATGCTCCAAGAGCATCTGCTTTCTTGGAAGAGACAGGACAAGCACTGAGATTATGATTTAAAAAGCCCTGAGGATTTTAAACATCCAAGTGCCCTGAGCTGGAGCACAAAGCACAGCTCTGGTGTCTCAGGTGTTCACAGCCCCTGGGCCTGAAGCCTCTCTCTGTGCTGAGCTCGTGGTCTCTGACAAAGCTTCTACAAGCAAATGTGATTTGTTCCCTCTGTTAGTTCCAACATCAGCTCATTTGAGCCAGTCCAATCTCACGTGCACAAAACCAGGATCCCTTGATGACACAAACCCAATTATAGGTGGGTTTTTTTCTTCCTTTCTTCTACCCTGCACACAGGTCTCCTGCAATCCCTGGCCAGTGCCACAAACTCCATCCTTCTGACTTGTGATTTGACTCCAAAACCCACTTCTGAAACCAAAATATTGCAAGAGGTAACTTTACATCCCAAGTGTCACCTGCCTTTTCCCCACTTCCTCAAGGTCTAACACAAACAGAGTGCCAGGGACAACTTCACAAGGAATGCAACTGGTTCTGAAGATGAAGCTCTGTCTCTTAATGCAAAAGGCACAAGAAAAGAAAAAGAAAGATGGGGAAAAATACCCTAAAGAAGAGAAAAACATCTACCCAAGAAAGCACACGACTAGTTCTCTTTATTCCTGTTTCAGCCCATCAGATGCCAACAACTCCTGGCTGCTGGAGACAGGACAGGCAGAAACTTGTGAGCCAGAGACAGACACTTGTAATCCTTTACCTTGTCTCCTTGATTTCAAGGATTTTGGATTACAAAGTGCTTCCTACTAATGGGGAGACCCCCTCAGGGACACAGGGAGGAGCTCCTGCCCCAGCAGAGCAGGGAGTGATGGGTTTCTGCAGTGCCAACCACTGCAGCTCCTCCTGAGATACACGAGGGGTTCCTCCCCAAATTGTGCCCATCCCTGGGGCACACAGTCACTGTGGGCACAGCCTGCCCAGAGCTCAGTACCCCAGTGCCAAAGGGCAAGAGGAGAGGCAAATAAAATGCTTTTATCCCCCTGCCCTCCACCTTCTGGAGTTTTCAGTCCTTCCACAAACAAATATCCCTGACTTAATTCCACACAGTCCTGCCTTCTCCTCCCCGACTTCCCACCACCACAGAACACCTGGAAATCCTGCCCACAGGTACAAATTGCAGTGAAGGAAGATGAGAGGTCCCTCCTGGCTCTGTGCTTGCCCTGCCCTAACCCAACCCTTCAACATCTGCAGGGCTGCCCTGACACCCAGTGCAGCACCAGCTGTGGTGGGACTGGGGCTGTGCTGCTGTGACTCCCTCACCTCCCCTTCCTCACCCTCAGGAAGAAAACACTCGATTCCAAGTGTTCCCTGCACTTCTCCAGCCCAGAATTCCTGCTGCTGGAACCCCCTGCCAAAAGCCCCCAGGCAATTTAAAAGCGATTTTAAGGATAAATCCTGCACGAGCTGCAGTGATAAAACCCTCACCAACATTCTCACCAAACCCCAGCTGGATATTTTCAGACACAGAGGCAGCAAGGAATGTAGAGGCAGCAAAGCTTAACAGTGTTAGTGCTCTTATTAATCAAAAGCTGGAGAGAGAGAGCCCAGAGCAAACACTGGGGGCAGGGGGAGACAGAGACAACTGTCACAGGAATTAACAGGAGCCCTGAAGAGATGCAACTACTCAGATTCCAAATTCTTCAATGCAAACTGCTCTGAACATCTGATGCCTTCACTTGCCACGACACATCTACTCCAACAGATTATTCTGGAGGAAGAGGGGGCAGGATCTTCTCAGCCCCACATGAAACACAGGGGGATGGTGTTTAAATTACAGCTTTACTTTGTTCAGGCCACACCAGTCTCTGTGGTTTAGGATGGCTTAAAAATAGTTAAAAAAAAAAATCAGGGTACCCAGAGCTTCCACAAAGTTGACCTAAAAATACAAATATGAGCACCCCCCCCCAGTTCTGGTAGTTAATTTTGTTCTCTACCTGACCCCTATTATTTGCTTGGAAACAAACTTTCTGGTCCATTTTGAAGCAAGTGTTACAAATCAGGTGCACATAAAGGTAGGTTATTCTCATTATTATTATTATTATTACTATTTTTCCAGTACAGCACTGACTGTGAAATCAAAAGCAACAAACCCCACTTGCATTATCCCACCCCCTCACTGACCCTTGCAAATCAAAGACAAAGAGCAATCGAGCAATTTGGAGCATTTTCTGGAGAAATACACCTCCTGAAAGGTTTATCTGCATTGATTTGGAAATGGAACATGATGCAGTTGTCCTTTAAGAGAAGGTCAAGCTTCAGGAGCACCATGAGCAAATAGGTGAGTTGGCTGGAGCAGAGGAGAATTATCTCGGGGGGGGAAAAATCCTTCCCCAGAACATCTTGGTGCTAAATCTTCAAATCTCCAAGAGAGGCAGCATGGGGAAAGCAGGATCTGTCAGATTTTACAGCTGCTTTTACTTTTAATTGTCTTTTTTTTCCTTTAAAGTGGCAGGGTTACTCACTCCCAACACAGCTAGTTTGCTCATCCAAAAATGCAGCACTACAGGCCAAGTAAATTCTAATTCTAGAAGCTGTTTCTCTCATGTGCTGGTATTTAACTTGGTCATATTAATGCTCGTTTAGTTGGAGTGGTTACTGGACTAGAGGTTTGTTAATCTTGTAATGCTTTAAAGAGAAACCAAAAACCAAAAAACCTAAGGAGTTTGCTAAAGGTCTGGTAATCTTATACCTCTTGTTTCTCGGGCCGGGTCCACGAAGCCTGGAGAGAACAGATATAGAACACAACAACAACAACAGAAAAAAAGCAATAAAAGTTTATCAAAGGTTGCTTTCAGGTTATCAGTGTTTGCAGCACATTGTGTTGTGTGCACATGCAGGCTCCAGGGTGTGCATCTCCTGTGTGTGGGGGGGACCATCACACTTCCCAGTGCCCACGGAACCTCAGTTTGGGCTGGCATTCAGAATTCCATCTCCTAGAAGCTGGTTGTGAGGTCACCAACCAGAGGGTGCTGGCACCTGGAACTGCTCCTGTGCTCACACAGCCCGTGGCTGTGTCCCCTGGCACCTCTCACCTTCTCCAGACCCCCGTGCCCAGGTCCTGGGGAGGTGCCTCTGCTCACCTGGGGCACTGAAGTGCAGTCCCAGAACTGGTTTTCTCCCCCTGGTTTGTTTGCCACCCACACACTCTGATTCCCACTGACACCCATGGACGTGGCCATGCATCTGGAGCTGCATTTCCATGCATTCTGTGCCAGGAGGAGGAGACCTCGAGCTGCAGAGCACTGGGACAGTGGGACACCCTGCACGGGGCACTGCAGGACCTGCTGCCTCCAGCTGATCATACCCAGCCCCTCCTGGGCCTGGGACAACCCCACAGCAGTGAAACATGCACAAACCTTACATTAAAGCAGATATTTCAGGCAGATATTTCCCGTTCAGAGAAAGCCACCGACAGTGTGGACCATAATCACTGTGGTTCAGAAAGACCAAAGCTGCTGGGTTCCATTTCCCCCCCTATAATTTATATTTCAAATATCTTCTGGACTCTGCATCAATTGTAAGTTGATCCAGTTCAGTTGAGGAGCCCAAAATCAGCTGCTAATGTCCCAGCCACGATGGCATCACTGGGTGTGAGGCACGAGTGTGGATATCACAGCACACGAGTGACAGGGATGGAGATGGAGGCTCAGGAAATGAGAATTAAAAAAACACAGCACTGTCTCCACAGGGCTTCTAGTGAACATTGTGAGACTCAAATATTAACAGATGGGACAGACAGCCTCGTTCTACAATGTCTTGGATGAAAGCAAAGTATTTGCTTGTAACTAGAAGCCTGAGGAGAAGCTCCCCAACACCTGCACAGGGCAAGACACTCCCCAAACCTGATCATTTCTATGTATATATATCCTGTTGTGCACAAGGTCCTTCAAAGCTGAACAGGCAGCCTAATAACCCAAAATAATCCCTTCTTGCTGCCCCAGTCACTCTGCCAGGGACCTGCCTTGCCTGTACCCATGTGAGTCCCCTTCCAGTCCTGGTCACTGGGTCCCCACAGTGTCAGCACAGGGGGATTCTTTGGATCCTCTGGTGCTCAGTACCTGCCAACCTAAAGGAACATGAAGATGGAATAAGTTCCCACACCCCCAGAGTTTGCTGTTCCTCTGTAATGGCACTCAGGGATGGGGGGAAAGAGGCAGAAGCACATTCTCCATCCTGGAGAGTTCCAGACTGACTGTCCCTCACCAAGACAGAGACACAAGCTCTACTCAGCACCACACAGGGAACAAGGGGGAATCAAGAGCCTCCTGCATCTCCCCTTCCCTTTGGAAGCAAGTTGTTAAATGAGAATCCTCATCACAAAGGAGTTCCTGGGAACTGCCAGTGTAATTCTCTCCCCGGATCATTAAATCCAAAGATAGTCCCATGTACATCTACTGAGATGCAAAGCACAACACAAATTTAAGACAGGGAGTTGTATTCACAGTATATTGCCCATTTAGGAGGGAAAAAACCAAAATACAATCAGGAAATTAGGCTTCCATTAAGTTAAATTTGGAATGTTAAGTGTGCTGCAGCCCATCGAGGAGCTCTTTGCTGGAGGTGCTGCAGCAACACTCACCTGCACCATCAGAGTACCTGACTCCCCTCCAGGTCACTCAATTTGCCTTTTGGTTTTTACTTTTTTTAATTATTTCACTGGTCATTTAACCTGGTGTGAGCTGTGCAAGGGAATGAGATCCTGAACTGCAGACACCCCTCCTGTCAGCCCTGGCCACAGGATAACAGCCTGGATGAACCCTTGTCTGCTCCCCTCCCATGCCCACACTCTGAGCTGCACTGCTGGGTGAGAAACCCAGGACTGGCTCCACAACTGCTCCATGGAAGTGTGTGCACAGTCAGAGACTGTCAGCCAAAAATCTGACAGTTTGCACTGAAACTGTAAAACTTGTTGCACCACTTACAGCCCATCAAGGCTCATTTCCTGAGGCACAGTTAAGTTTTGTGCCAGAGCAGTGAGAGAAACGTGGCTCTTCGAGGGGCTGAGAAGCACTGAGGGTGAGGAGGGAGCTGAGCAGCTCTCACCTGGGATCCCTCACAATTCCTGCTGCCTGCACAGATGAGAGGAGGGCAAACCCCTCCAAACCATCCCACTGCTGACTGCCCAGGCCTCTGCTCTGCAGTAGGGACAGACAGCAATCCCACACTCACAAGGCAAACAAACTTCACAACCAAAGTAAACCCCAGGTAAGCAAATTTTTAATTAATTTCATCATTATTGTTATTTTTTGCTTTGCGCTCTCTGCAGAGCAGCAGCCAGAAGGGGTGGTTTTCTTGCTTATTTGGGGTTTTGGGAAGGTTTTTTCTGAAGTACAGAACGTTAATGGGAGTTAAGGCATCTCTAAAACTCTAGACTGAAGTATGATTACAAGAGTAAACAAGATGAAGCAAGACAGAAGCATCCAAGTACCTGAAGAATATTCAGAAGTAGGGCTTCATAATCCTAAAAAAAGTATTGTTTGTGCTGCATCAAAGACCATCCATTTCCCTGTGCTGTCCCAGAGACAGCAAGGGCAGAGTAACCTGAATGGATGAATTTGGTTGTACATTGAGTAGAAAGGTAACCAGAGCTGTTCTGACCTGAGGATTTTCTGGATATTTGTACCATCCACCTAAACTTCCAGCACAAGAGGGAGAATGGGAAAAGTGTAAGACAAACCAAACCAAAACACACACACACACACAAAATAAAATAACCCAGCCTAGAAAGAGCATGGTAGGTGATCAAAATGTGTTTGCCCTGAGGGTTTGAACATGAGACACGTGGCTGCACCTCAAACCTTGGATTTTCCCCCTGCCTGTATAAGAAAGTATCAGGGAATCACCATTTTCTGTACTATTGCTCAGCAACAGCATCAAGCAGGATATATGAGTCTCAAAAACCAGCAAAAATGAGTTAGCAGTTTTGCCACTGGGATCTGGGGGGTTTAACTGGGCTGGACAGAGGGGGCTCTGCAAACAGGCTCTTCCACCCCTTTGGACTTGCTTTAAGTTTTTATATTCTCCTCCCTGACAAAGCTCTTCCCATGGCTGTGACCCAAACTGCAGAGCCAGCAGCTCTGGAGCCCCGGGCTCCTCCCAGGACCCTCCTGGACAGAGACAAGACCATGAATAAATAAATAATAACCTCCTCCTGTCCAAACAGGTGCCCCAGTCACACTGCAGGGATGAGCCAACAGCTTCTGAGGGCACTGGAACCCTCTGTGAACATTGCAGGGATTCACAGCAGCCCTCCCACCCCAAAAGATGCTGAGAAAGGACTGAAGCTGGAAAACTTTGGCACTCTGATTAATAAGTTACACATGAACAGCGTGGGGGAGAGCTGACATCATGGGGGCAACTCAAAAAAGCTCATTTAGGAGCTCCAGTGCGGGATGGCAGCTGTGGGGACAACTGACAGTGGACACCTCTGTTGCTCCCAGACTTTCCCAGTCTGTCCCCTGCTGCCTTCACACTGAGCCAGAACCCCTGGCATGGCCAAGGCAGCTGAGCCCTGAAGCATCCTGTTATTAGAAGATTATTAATAAGCAACAACTCCTCACTCCAGCTTTTATCTAGGCTTTCTTTAGCTCCAAATTATGCCTGCTGATCACTTATGCAACTATTATGAAACATCTACAGTAAAGCAGCACATCCTCATCTTGTCTAATTGAAGGAATTGCAGCCAGTAACAACACCAGCACTCTCCTCTAAAAGAAAAACTGCTAATTATTTTTGCCTTTAAAGAACAAAATGGCATTGATGTGATCAACAAAAACAGGTGAGCACAAAGGCAGCCAGACTTTTGTGCTTCAGGAATGTGCAGTACCAGAGCACAACACGGAAGGGCGAGAAGGAATTAACAGGCTCATTTTGGTCCAGTGCACCTCTGAGAGGTGCCACCCCACAGCCCAGCCCTGCCACCCTCCCAGTCACACCATGAGGGCAGCACTGACAACGCTGCCATCAGGGTGCTCATTCCCAGCTGGGGATACAGGAGGGAAAAACCCCTTCACAACCTTCCTGCAACCGTAGGTCCCTTTGGAAACTCCTCTGAAGAGGGTTTAGGCTCCACTGCTCTTCAGGTTAATCCAGCCCCGAGTGATCCAGCAGGAATCACAAAGCATATCCTCAGTTCTTACAGCCAGAGGTGGCTCTTTCCAAAAGGACCCCCTGTGGCACTGCTGCAGGCGTGGAGCTGAGCCCTGGGCAGACAGGGTGTCCTCCCCCAGGACTCCCACGTGCATCCCCGTGCAGCTCATGCAGCCCAGGGGAGCAGGGCAGGCAGGCAGGGGCTGTGCTGATCCCCCCAGGGACACCCCAAGGCTCTGGGAAGGGCTCTGTACCTTCTCCTCGTTGCTGATGTTGCGGGTGGAGGTTCTCCAGGTGATGGAAGGGATGGGGTCCCCGGAGGCCTCGCAGGTCAGGGTGATCTGATCCTCCAGCTCCATGGCTGTTTTGTTCTCCACATAGGTGATTTTGGGTTTTGCTGGGAAGAAAAAGCAACTCTGATTCAGGTTGGGGCTCGGGATGAAGCTCCTCTGCCAACAGCAACATTTGGGACAGGCAGCACTGGGGGAAAAGGCTTTGGAATGGTGACAAGCTCACTGCCATGCAGGGAAGGAGCAGAGTGGTGTTGGAGAAGAGGCACCTCCTGGCAGAACTAGAACCTCTTCTATTCATGCTTCCAGCTGAGGCTTGTAAGAGAGGACTAGGAGAGGGTGTATGTGAAGTAGAACCCATTTAGCAGTGTACAAGTGATCAGCCCCTGGGATTACCAGCTGAATCTTCCACCTCCCTGTCTACTTTCTCTGCCCCAAATCAGCCTTTTGATAAGCAGCTTTGTCAAGTGGCTGCATATGGGACAGGGAGAATTATATTCCTTAACACTCCCAGATTCATAGAAGGCAGGAAAGCTGCTGATTCATCCCTGCAGAGCTTGAGGTCATTCCCACAGTGGTGGGGTGGAGTTCACCTCCCTGTCCAGGTTAGAGCAATTCCCACTGAAGTGCTAAAGCAGCTTTGGGTGGATCAGGATTCAGCCCTCGGGGCCTGGAAGATATTTCAGGTAGCATTTCACAGCCCCCCTGCCCAGGGCTGGATTCCTCTCCTCAGAGGGGAAGCAGGATGGAGCTGGGCTGTGTTTCAGACACACACACACGATGGCAGAGGAGCACAGCATTCCTTGGGGAAGCAGCAGCTCCGGATAAGCCCCGCCAGGCATTAACTGGGATAAGTAGGTTACTTCCAGCTTGCACTGGTGAGCTGCCAACACTGCCTGGAGTGGGAGGGGGGATGGGAAGAGCATTCCTACCGAAGACTTTGAGGTGGATGGTGGCATCTGCCTCCCCTGCCTTGTTCTCAGCGATGCAGATGTACTCGGCCTCGTCGCTCTTGTCCACCTGCCTGATGACCAGCTCCGAGCCGTCGTAGTTGAAGCTGTATTTCTCCTCATCATCAGCCTCCTCCACGGGCTCTCCGTCCCTGGGGGCACAAAGCACGTGGGTGTGGTGGGGAGCAGCACTCAGAGGCTCCATAACCCCAAGGACAGTGTGCAGCACTGCCTGGCACTGCCGTGCAAGGCTGGGAGGAGACACGGCCAAACCTGGCTGAGCACCCACCTGCCAGGGGCAAGCACTGCATGAACTCCTGGGTTTGCTTTGCTTGCATGCACAGCTTTTGCTTTATCTGTTAGACTGCCTTTATCTCAACCAACAAGTCTTTTTACCCTTTTGATTCTCCTCCCCATCCCACTCCCCCCGAGTGGGCTCTGTGGGACTTGGCTGCCCACCAGGGTTTAACCCACAGCAGAATCCAACTTCAGTTCCATCATGAGTCCACCTTTTCTCTTGTGAATCAAATCTGTTCATTTCATTTTAGTTAAGATGGTTTTTCCCCTCCAGCCTGGTTTTCCAGGCCTTGGGGAATCACCCCTGCTCACACCACCCCCAGGACACTGCACACAGCATCTTACTTTGTCCACGTCACGGTTGGCTCAGGAAAACCATCAGCATCACATGCCAAGGTGACAGACTGGCTGAGGTTGGCAGTGGCATTCATGGTGCTCTGCCTGGCACGCACAGAAGGAGGAACTGGAAGAGAAGAAATCCACATCTGAGTTAGAAAGGACAGAAGGTTTAGCAAGAGGGAGCCCCGGGAGGCTCCTTGTGCATCTCTGCAATAACCACAGATGTCACCAGCTACTCAAACCCTTCCACCATCCCCTGCAGGTTTTAATCAACAGGTTTGATGCACGAGCTCTCCAAAGCAACCAGCACAGGGAACAAAGGGAAGGGGGTGGGGAGAGGCAGCAAAAAAAAAAATAATTGTGGTGGACAAAAGCACTTGTGAGTCCCACCAGGCTCAATTCCTCACTCTCAGTCATGGGACATTTCAGTCAGGATTCCATCAGATGAGAACTCCTACAGTGAGGTTCTCACCCCCTGCTCTGCACCAGCCTTACTCTGAGCTCTCACCATTCACAATGACCTGGATGTCCTTGAAGTTGATCTCCCCCCGAGCCAAGATCCTCCCCTCACACCTGTACGTCCCCTCGTCCGTCTTCTTGATGCCCCGGATCTGCAGGTAGTTGTTGGACAGGACTATGAACCGCACTGCAAAGACAGAAGGGATCCTCAGGGCAGCTCACGGCAGCTTCTGCTCCTCTCTGGGCCCCTTCTGGGTTGAGACAAGGATTGGTGGAGTGGAACTTCCCTCCCCACCACCAAAGGGAGATGCTGCTGCAGCTGGGTCTGAGGTTGCCAAGGAAGGAACTGGCTGTGGAGAGCAGCCAAGGGCTGGTGCTGGGCAGTGTAAGCACTCAGGGATAATCCACAGGAACACATCTACATGTCATCAGAGCAGGCAATGTGTTGAAGGCTTTACTGCCCTTCTACCTGTGTGCCTGCAGCAGGGAGGTGTGACAAACCCAGCTGAGGCACAGCTGGAATCAGGGCTTTGGAGGCCCCTCTGGCCATGGCTGGCTGCAGCTTTGTGGAAGAAAGGGAAAGGTTCCTGCAAGGAGCTTTTAGCCCCTTTTCCTCAGGAAGGCTGGAGAGTGTCACAACATCCAGCTTTTCTCTCTGATGGCACTTCTTTCATCTGATTGTTTTCTCTTTAGCATTCTTTGCTTATTCCAATGTCAAAGCCTGATGGTCATTTCTGTGGGAACATTGCTGCCCTGCCACTGCCAAACCACAGCACCCTGACTAACTGAACTCACACCCTGTGACCCAGTGCCAGGCACAAACTGCTCCCCCTTTCCCTGGTGCCCACCACCCATTTTGTGTGTGAGCCTGATCTGAGCCCTGATGGGACATGGACACTGAACGGACGAGCACCAAGACCTTACCATCTTTTTTTAGGATGACATCCCTGCCTTTGTGCTTCCAGATGATGGTGGGAGGCAGCGAGCTGACCACGTCACACACGATCACAGCATCGTCCCCTTCCTTGAACTCCTGGGGGGTGGGAGCGTTCTTGAACATCAGCTTTTCTGAAAGCAAGGCAAGGAGAAAGTCACTGCAGCTTTCCCAGCACACCTCGAGCTGTGCTCCTGACTCAAGCCTGAGGGAAGCAAAGAAATCCCAGAGGGCCCCAAACCCCCTGGAAATCACCTTGTTGCCAAGGGGAGGATAAAGGATATAGGATTGAATGCACTGCCCCGTTCTCCAGCCCTGTCCCTCAGGAGTATCAGTGGGCCAAATCCATTCCCTAAAAAACCCACACTGCAAACTGTGACCTTGGAGCTGCTCAGCTTCCCAGCAGGAAGGGGAGAAGCTGCTCCCGTGGCTCTGCTGGCCAACACGCTGATGGCTTATTATAAACCTGCTGAGGGTGTGGGCCCCTTCACTCAGCACCAGAGCAGCCCCACAGCATGTCTGTCACCTACAACAGCTGCTCCCTCTGCTTACTCCTCCTGGACACTCAGGAAGGACCAGAACCTTCTCCTTCCTCCTCTTGCTCTCTGAAGAATTCCCAGCCTTTCTGAAGGATTTCAGCACAGACATGCTGGCGGGCAGACCACAGGTCCAGTTCCCATTAACCCCCAAAACCCAGGGAGGAGGAGGAGGCTGCATCTTCTCCACAGCCCCTTTCTTTTCACCCCCCTCCCTGCCCTTTAATCATAGAATCATAGAATCATAGAATAGGTTGGGTTGGAAAAGACCTCCAAGATCATCAAGTCCAACCCCTGATCCAATTCCAATTACTACATCATGGCACTAAGGGCCACGTCCAATCTCTTTTTAAAAACCTCCAGGGATGGTGAATCCACCACCTCTCTGGGTAGGCTGTTCCAATGCCTGATAACCCCCTCTGTAAAGAATTTCTTCCTAACATCTAACCTAAACCTCCCTGGCAGAGCTTGAGCCCATGTCCCCTTGTCCTAGCCCAGCCTTTTCCAGGGAGGCACAAGCCTTACGGAAGATCTTGACGTTGACGGTGGCCTCGGAGTCGCCCTCGTCGGCGCTGCTCACCACGCACTTGTAGATGCCGGCGTCGTCGATGTTGGCGTTGTAGATGGTGAGGGTGGAGGAGAAGTCATCGTTCCTCACCACCGAGATGCGCTGCTGGTTCGGCGTCAGCCTCTCCCCGTTCGGGGAGAACCACGAGATGTCCTTGTGCTTGGCCTCCCCTGCCACTGGGGGGGAGAGGGGAGAACACGATGTCACGCCGAGCCCAGCCCTGCAAGTCCTGCTGCAGCAAATATCCCCCCTCAGAGCACACTCCAACTTCTAAAGCACTGCCACCAACAAATCAAACCCACCCAGGCACAGGCGATGCCTCAGGCCAGCACCCACCTTGACATAAGAAGAACTTGGACTCTCCAACGCTGATCTCCCCCTGACTCGGAACGATGTCCACTTGTAGAGAGGCTGGGAAAGAGAAGAGCACACAGGGGGTGGTTAAACAACAGGAGTGGTCTTCAGCAAAGAAGCTTTGCTGGCCTTCCAACCCCCACAGCTCCTTTATTCACCTGATGGAAAAGCAGAGTCCAGTGTAACACTCATTTTCTGATGTGAATTACACTGGTACTAAACAAGTGAGAAAGGACAGCACAGGTCCCCATTCCCATGTCCAGTACAGGTCCCCATTCCCATGTCCAGTACAGGTCCCCATTCCCATGTCCAGTACAGGTTCCCCATTCCCATGTCCACAACATGTCCCCATTCCCATGTCCAGCACAGGTCCCTGTTTCCATGTCCAGCACAGGTCCCCATTTCCATGTCCAGCACAGGTTCCCCATTCCCATGTCCAGCACAGGTTCCCCATTCCCATGTCCAGCACAGGTCCCTGTTTCCATGTCCAGCACAGGTTCCCCATTCCCATGTCCAGCACAGGTCCCCGTTTCCATGTCCATTCACACCCAGCCCTGCCCAGTGCACATCCACGCACGTCCAGTGCCCTTTTCCCCCAGCAACATCCCTGCCTTCTTCATTGCATAAATTATGACCCATTAGGCAGAAAATGTAATTGGATTCTGGCTTTCCTCCAGCTATAGCTTAATTCCACAGCAGATCTGTGGCCTAACAAGCCCAGGTCAAGTTGAATTTGAGGACGCCAAAATGAATAGGTTTTCTTTCAAAAACCCCCTCCCATTTTTTTCACGCTGTAGTGCATGAAAATCCCTCTCCCAGAGCAGCTCATTTTACCTCCAGACCACAGAGGTGTTATTTTAGCTGCCAGACACACCTGGGTTTTCAAGGAACACGCACTGCTTGAGAAATTAAAACCTGACTGCGTGTGCCAATGGCAACATTCCTTAAAGTACTCGGGAAACATATGGACAGGGGGGGTGTAGGCATTAAGGTTGGAGCTACACAGAGCTGAAGGAGCAGTGCCTGCCCTCAGGAAAGAAGGACAGAAGCATCAGGATGGTCTGAGCACATTCCTGCAGCCAACAGCCCTTGTGACACAGCACTTCTGCTCACAGGGAAACGGGAAGCAATTCATGGGAGCCAGTGGAGGTCCCGGGGCAAGGTCTGGGCCACATTTCTGGCTTTGCTGTCCCTGGATTTCAGCAGGCTGTGCTGATAAATGCTGGTGTTCCAGCCCACAAGGCTGGGGTACAGCAGTGAACACAACCAACCAGCCCAGACTCAGCTGAGAGCAGAGTTGGGAGCACTGTGTGCTCCAGGGCTGGCCACGGTCACAGCTCTGCCCAGCCCAGAGCCTGCCAGAGGGGGACACTCAAGTACCCCTGGATGCCCTGAGGAACAGCAAGAGGCTCATTCCAGCCCCTCCTGGCCCATCCAAGACACCCTTCTGAGCCCTGCAGCTGGAACACAATGATTGGGATTGAATTCCCACAAGGAAGGGCTCTCAGCCCAGCCAGCAGCTTTGCTTTCTCCTCAGGCAAGCACTGCTATCAGACCACGGGGTGCTGCTAAAATGGCTTTGAGCTAATTGAGATCTGACATAAATTCATCCCCCCCCCTTCTTTTTTTTGCCACCCTACACTGTATAAATACACCACTGGCCCTCTTCTGCCTGCTGGGAAGGCAGTGGCACAGGCTGGGGTTATTAATGCCTTTCATTCCATTCTCAGGTGCTTTCTGTTACAGCTAGAAGGGAGAAAAAAGGCTCTGTGTAAAGCACTGAACTTTTCATCACCCCCAAATTCGGCATCTGGGCTCTACCTCACATCTTTTTTTATGCATGTCTGTGCCACAGCAGATGCAAAGAAGGGGAGGAAACCACCCAACCCGGGAATATCTCACTGTAATTACAGCCAAAAGGGCCAGGCAAGAGATCTGAGCCCAGGCAACACTCAGCTCTCAACACTTTCACTTATTTTTTTCCAAGGGCTCAGCTCCTTCTGTGCATTTAAGATTTTCAAGAGAATGAAGCCTGGAAACCACCCCTGGGACACAGGAAGGCAAAACTCTTTGGAGCCTTAGAAAGGAGCAAAGGAAGGACATCCCTGGTTATGCCTCACTCAGTCAGTGCTCCCTCTGCTCCACCAGCAGCAAAATTATCATTAAATCTCATCATTCCTGGCCTAAGAAACACCATTTCTGCAAAGGTTGTGCAGAGGGGCAGCAATTCCTTCAGCACCAACCCCCCTGCACATCAGCACAGCCCCTTCCTTCAACTGTGATGGGAGGGAGGCACAGGGGAAACCTCCTGATGTTATTACTGACTCCAGAAAGGCACTTTTCAAACCCAGAAACTGCCAAGGGACAGAAACAGTGACCTGGTGAGCAGCAGGAACCAGAGAGCCAGCATTAACAAACCTGCTTCACACCACACTTCAGCTCCTTTAATTGAATCCAGGAACAAGATGCTCAAGTACCCCAAGGTAGATCAAAACCTAACTGCTGTTTCAAGTGCTATTTTACTCCAGTTTCCACTGGGAGAGGAAATTCCCAGGGCTCATCTGTGCAGAAACACACCAAGGGTACTTATTAAAGGCACAAAACACACTCCAGAAACCCTCAACATTTCCACTCTGCCAGAGATGTCGAGGAACAAAATTCTACCTGGCTTTTTTTAGCCTTTTGTGCCTTCTGACGGTGGGTCTGTGCAGGGGACTGGACAGGCTGTGGGGCTGCTCCAGCCCTGGGTTTTGCCCTCACAGTGTTTGCCAACAGTGTTCAGGCTTCGTCCTACAAATTGCCAGATCCCTGGGGATGAAACTGGGCACAAAAGAGCCCGGGGGACACTGAAGGGGAACCTGTGGAAACCAGCTACAATCTGAGCAGAAATGTTCCTCTGAGTGACTCCCACCAAACTCATCTGACACCAGGGAGAATCCAGCCCTGATTTCAGCCAGCCCTTGCTTTGCTGACACCATAACCTGGATAAACAGGCCCATCAGAGCCACGAGCTGTGCCTGCAATTACACCAACAATTGCTCCCTGCTCGCTGAACTCTCCTGCTCAGTGTGTGACCAAACCAACAGACCCAGCCCTGCCACGGGGTTTAATCACTATTTAATCGGTATTTTTGCTTTGCAGTTCAGGCAAACGGAGACTATTTTTTCCACTCTTCATTTAATAGACACTGGGAGCCCATTTGTATTCCGCTTCCAACTTCAAGCAATAAAGGCCTTTTTAGCATCACATAATAACTGCATTAAAAGGCCTCTTCATAATCACACAATAACACTTTTTATAGCTCTGCCCTCCCCCATATCTTTTATCTGGTTACAAAGTTCCCCAGCCCCCAAATAATGCTGAATAATTCCCCATTGATTTGGAAAAAAAAAAAAAATTTGCTAATGCAACTTCCTGTTCATCTGTAGTTAAATATAATTAGTTTTGCATTTCAACAAAAGAAACGAGCTCAAATTAAGCCCTGATTTGGGTAATAGGCAGGGAGGCTGTACCCTGCTGGGCTAAGGCTGAGCCTCACACAGCAGGGTTTACCTGGGGAGTAAATAAGGTGCCACTTGCAGCACAGGGAAGGGGGTTCAGTGCTGGGTGTTGGCTCCGTGTCTGCCCAAACTCACGGGACTGCAGGGAAGCAGGGTGGGAGTGACCTGCAGCCACACTCCCAGCCTGGAATATCCCCCCCTGTCCATGCAAAGGGAATGTCTTGGAACACTAAATACAAATCTGCAGTAATGCAAATCTACCCTGGGGTTTTATCCCTGGATAAATGAGAGCTCATCCCCCCACATCCTTCCCTTCCCATAAAACCATCCCTGCTTTACAACCATCACTTCAGCACTGACCCTCAAAAGGTCCTGATCTGAGCCTTGGAACTCAATGAGGATCTAAATCCTTGGCTGCCCAGCAGGGATGGTCCCATCTCACTCCAGCACTGGGGGTCATGTCAGACCCTTCCCAGCCAGTTCTCTGTGCCAAGGGCACCTCAGCTCTCTGCTCACCTTTGGAGCCCCGATAATACCCAACCCCCTGGTTCTCAGGGCTCTCTCTGACAGGCACCACTCCTGACTGGGAACACAGGGAACTGGGATATATTTGCCTGGGAGGCAGCAGAGCACCTGCCAGGGCAGCAATCCCTGTCCTCGTGTCACTCCTGTCACAGTAACCCCCTCAATGGTGCATCACAGCAACATCCAGGTGAGGCTCAGGGAAAATGCAGCACCTTTGGGCAAATAAAGCACAACAGGGATGAAATCAGCTGTAAATATTCCCTGTGTTCCCTTGTTAAAGGCTGTACCTCTATTTTCATTCATTTCTAGCAACAGTTCTCCGATCCAACTAAATTGCAGGAATAAAAAATCATCGGGAAAAAAAATCTCTGCTGGGTCTGATGCCCCCAGCTCTCCCACTCAAGGCAGGATTTGTAAAGCTTGTGAGCGCAGCAGATTATGGTGAAAGCCCTCAGGATTTAATACACAACAAAGGCTTAACAAGACAAAGACATGCCTCCTGTACACGGTCACTTTATTAAAAATACGCTGACTGCTCAGGAGGAGGAGGAGGAGGCAGCTGGGATTGATCCCAGCTGGGCTGCGGATCCGATTCCTCCCCCGTCGCCATGGGAACCACTCCCTAAATCTGCCAGGAATTGGAGGAGGGGACGGGCTGGTACCTTTGGGGAATATCAGATCAGAGGGATTCGGGGAAGGCAGCGAACAGCAGCTCAGCAGAGCACGACACAAAGAGAGAGATGTGAGCAGAGCTCCCTTTGCAGGGGGAGCAGCTGCAAATAAAACCCCCCCCAGCACAGCCCGGGGTGACCTGGATGGGGGAGGATGCTCCTCACTCACCCCGCTCCCAAACGCTCCCTCCTGCCCCAAAAAGCCAGGTCCAGCAGCCCCTCTGCCATCCTGGGAGTGCCTGCAGTTATTTAAATCCTGCTAACACCTTTTCCTAGGAATCAAAGCAGAACTTCTCCGACCTATCAGTGGTTTTACACGGAACACGGTTTTTATGCCTCTTCTGACGACAGTCCTGATAAA